GTGGGTCATGTGCTACCTCGCTAGTTCCCCAGAATGGCTAGCAAAGACACAAGAAGAAGTACGCAACACAGCAGCCAAGTACGCCCGTGATCCCAACGCGCCGTTGCGCTATCAGCTCAACGATGTTCCGCTAGATGCCTGGGAAGCCGAGTTCCCCATCATCGACATGTGCTTGCGTGATTCCATTCGCTTGAACCTACTTGGCACAACATTCAGGAAGAACACAAGTGGTCGCGCTATTCCTATTGGTGATAGCAAGGAGGTCATCCCCCCTGACGCGTTCGTCGTTTATGCTGCTGGCGACATCCACCTCAATCCTGAGGTTTACCCTAACCCGTATGAGTGGGATCCAGCGAGATATACTCCAGAACGTGCTGAGGATAAGAGAAAGCTTCACGGCTTCTTGGGTTGGGGAGCAGGTCGGCATCCATGCCGTAAGTATATCACTGGTATCTTGTGGGTCACGGCTAATTCGTTCATAGTCGGCATGCGCTTCGCAAAGCTGGAACAAAATATCATCACCGCGTACTTCATCGCTTCCTTTGATTTCCATCTTTGTGATAAAAGCGGAAACCTTGTTCTGGATGCCCCGAGAGTCGACTTTAACAGGCACTCAGCGCATAAGCCGAAGAACCCGCCTTACTTGAAGGTGACACCGAAGGAGAAGTAGGTAGCCAGCAAATAAGAACGTCATCGGCATCGAGTCAGGGAATATTCACCCTTTTCAGAGAATAAGCTTTGGGTGCCTCCGATCCAACGGGAGATTAAGTAATCTAATAGCCGTAGAATCCACCTAACCCATGTAATGGTATTCAATGTCATACTTTGCAAAACCTTTATACTTGCCTGAGGTCGAACTCAGATTAGTTGACAAGGCGCGCATAATCCCGAACGTCGTTACTCTCCTTTCAACTGGCACTTGTAGATACAAGCAGACGACAGGTTGTGCACACAACAGACTCCGCCAAGTCCAATAGCTGTGACTGGCGTACATAGTATTCTGCCTAAGTCACCAAACACGTCTTTGCGCGCAAGGCTGCCGAGGGGGTCTGTTGTCAAGCGTTTAACGGGTCGCTTCCCGAAAATCGACATCCCCGTGTCTCGTTCTCCTCGGCTGTCAAGCCACAGGCAGGGTACCGTAAGTACAGGTAGCGTTAGCGACGAAAACCGAAACACTCGACCCACTCGCCTCATGATTCGTCTTCAAGCCTCCGACTTTCTCGTATGCTTGCATGTTGCAACTGCGTGACTCCCCTCAGCCACCGTGTTGAGAGAATCTTCCCCTCAAATTGTGCATGGCACGATCTTCTCACCGAGCCCTCCCCGAAACCATCTATAGGTACATTGTAGTCGAGTTTTGTATATTGGGAATACGGTCTTGTCGTTTACGGGACTAAAATTAGCATTGAATGCCAAGAGTCGGTTATGAGAACGAACAGAGCGGCCCGCTCATGTCAGACCACGGCTGTGGATAACGGTCAATGCATTCCGAGCCCCGGTCGAGAAGCATCCCTCTGGTTTCTGCTACCGCCGCGGTTCATCATCCTAGCCGAAAACTACTCAACAGAAAGGCTTTGCAGGAATACTGCAAATTTCGCGGATCGCATCCTCCGGTCAACTAAGCCAAATTTGGATGTTTTGTGGGTCACAGGTGTTTGGCACCGCGAGGCTGAAACTTGATGTTTATTGCTATCCTTGGCCCGACCATGTCGAAATAGCTTAGCGATCTGATCTTATTGGCTGCACAAGCACGTTTACTCTTCCCAGATGAGTTGCATAGCTGCACAAGCGCTGCTACCCTTATTAGAGTCTAGGAACGATATGTGCTAATGATGAGGACTACTACCAAGAGTCTTGGTGCGACAGACACGTGCAACGGAACATGGGAGAACCACAAATGTCCAGTGTTTGATCGGAGAATTCAATCTCCGTCCAAACAACTGACTTAGTTGAAGGCGGATGGATCAGGACGGTTGCGGCATAGGTCGCAGAGCTCTCATGTATATAATCACTTGAACCATTCCTTCACAGCTCACCACCTCACTTCATTACGAGCAGTCTTTACATTCGTTTCAATACCTCCTTTACACTCGTTCTTTTGCTACCTTTTTCACTTCTACAAACATTCATTCCTGCTCGGTCAGAATGAAGTTCTCTGCTCTTCTCGTCTCCGCTGTCGCCCAAGTGGCCACTGCCCATTACTTCTTCGACACGAACATCGTCGGTGGTGTCCAACAGCCTGCCTTCAAATATGTCCGCCAGTCGACTCGTGCAACCAAGTACAACCCGATCAAGTTCTCGTCCAACCCTGCGGCTGATATCCGCGATGGATGTTGGAGTGGGTGAACCGTACGCATAGGGAAGAAGTTGAGGATTGACTGAGGTTGTATTGTACAAGCTATGGAAAGTTTATGTAGGTGAGTGACCATAAACAGCGCTAGTCTCAGATAGGCATCGTCCCATCACCAAACCGTGACAATGGATCACACGCCGACGGTCCTGATATCCGTTGCAACCAGGGTGCCTTTTCGTCTGCCGGCAAGACCCAGGTCTTGACCGTCAACGCCGGTGAGGAGATCCGCCTCAAGTTGGCCGTCGGCGCCAAGTTCCAGCACCCCGGCCCCGGTATGGTCTACCTGTCCAAAGCCCCTGCAGGTGTACAAGCCTACGATGGATCCGGCGATTGGTTCAAGATTTACGAGGAGGGTGTCTGCGACGGCGGCGACTTCACCTCTACCGCCTGGTGTGATTACAACAGGGACTTCATTGCTGCGAAGGTTCCCAAGGATACCCCCAACGGAGAGTACTTGGCACGCTTTGAGCACATTGGTGTTCACCGCTCTCACGTCAACCAGCCCGAGCACTATGTCTCATGCTTGCAAATCAAGGTCCAGGGCGGCGGCAGCGGCACCCCCGGTCCCATGGTCAAGGTCGGTTTTTCTCTCTCTTCGAGTCCTCGACCAACGTTTACTAACCCTTTCTAGTTCCCTGGAGCATACAAGGCCACTGATCCATATGCCAAATTCAGCATCTACAACGGTCGCAAGGCATTCCCCATGCCAGGACCAGCTGTCTGGAAGGGAGGAGCTGGTAGCAGCAGCAGCAGCCCTGCACCTGCCAAGGAAGAAGTCCCAGCCGCCGCCAAACCTACCACCATGGCTACTGTTGCCGTTCCTGCCGCGACCCCTGCTCCAGCTGCTGGCGGGGCTGGTTGTGCCACTCTTTACGGACAGTGCGGTGGACAAGGTTTCTCTGGATCCAAGTGCTGCGCCGCAGGCACTTGCAAGTCCATCAACACCTACTACTCCCAGTGCCAGAACTAAGCTTCTCGCTGGTGTCACTTCCCATCCACGGATCGTGACGGAGTAAGCCAAAAACTTGCGATCATCTTTTGTTGGCTCCAGAGCTACTATACTGTACTATTCTTCTCCATGGCTTTGCTGGGAACTAGGCTTTGAACATACCACCTGGTGTTCCGCTTGTATATACACAAGGCTCTATAACTTCTTGTCTTATAAATTATCATTCTTTACCATATCTTTGGCAGGTCAAGGACTCAGTGCTATGTGACGATTGATAGTGCCGACAAGGGGAATTTCTTCTCTGATATGTTGGCCATGCACCGAAGCTGGGGTATAACAGGACAGCTCTATAGGATGTGATGGGACAATTTAGTCCCTTGGGAGGCCGTGCACAAATCCTGGTATGATGTTTGCGTGAACGATCGCTCTCCTCTTGTGCCTTTGTGCCACACTTTTATAGCCCCTTATGGCATTGATGCTACTATCAATACGCCTCATACTCTACACACTGCTAAGGAGAGAGCGCTCATATTGGCAGCAAAATTTTCCACATTTGTAACGTTGCGTATTTGTGATCGTGATCAAGACCCTTTGATGTACATATCAGCCTCTTGAACCATACCTCCAACTCAGAACACTTCTCAATTGAAACGTGGTAATGTGGGCTAAGTGCAACGACTTAGAGAAGGCTGGATTGTTGGGTAGTGTTTCGGCCTTTCGCAGCCGTTGTTGCGAGGAATATTTTTGGGAAACGGTTCTCTCGAAAGGGCTTGAAGCCCTTGTAAGTTCTTTGGTCTCGTCTCACTAACATAGAACGTCTGGGCCGATGCATTGGGTTAACAGGGAAGCTGACAATTACTATAATCACTTTCAGGCAGAGTACAATACTGAGTACCTTTGCAAGCCTACCTATGAAACTAGATACGAGAAAGAGTCAATTAATGCTTGGTGTGGTAGAGGGGTTCATTACCTGTTTAGACCATCACACCCATGCTACGCTATAAAGTACCAAGAGCTGAGTCATCTTTGACTGGCCATTTCGTTTCCATGTGCACCTATCACGGCCATCATTTTATTTGCCCTACTATACTACCTATCATGACCGCAGCCTCTCTCTCCCAAGTAACGGTAATGGACTTGGTTGACGAAGCGCCGGGTAGCTGACTCCCCCTGTTCACACATTCCCTGACCATGTCTTTGACCCTATCCTTATTACTTCGAAGCGTCCTTGCTGACACACCACCTCTATTCATGAGTTCCTGGACCCTAGGCGTCATATTGGAGGCAAGTGTTCTCCAGAAATAGCTGGGAAGCGATGAGGTGTCGAGAGCTTGTAATAAAGGATTGAGGAAGTTTGAGGGGGTTTGAATTTGGGGGTTAGAGGCGAGAAGCGGATGGGGTGGTGGTTTTGTACTTTCAAGCAGGGACTGTAAAGCTATGATATTCTGACACCGGGCTGAAATTTCCAGGAGTGTGCGGTCGAGTGTAGGAAGCTGACCCAGGGCTCGGGCGAGTGAGGCTAGTGATGACTTGAGCTGCGTCTGAAGGTAATCTTGTAGGGTATTGAGCATGAGTGTTGGGTCAAATGTGTCAGTGACGGGGTTTGTAGGAATGGGCGATAGCAGGTAGAGGGTCAACAGGGCAGACGTTGTTCTCGCCTTGGTGTCTTCGGTCTGTGCAAAGGTGGCTGCCGAGGTTTGGGCCGAGGAGAGTAAAGATGACATGGAAAACTCCTTGACGACCTGCTGTGCGCGTGATGCTATGCTCCTCTCGCCCGGATTGACAAGTTCGGTCCTGAGTGTATTGACGACATTGACCCTATCTAGGCCCTCTCCTTCTTGGCCCGGCTTCGAGGCGGCGAGTATGTGGCGCAGCGATAGTATTGTGTCTGCCGAGCGCACCATTGCCCTGTGATCTTCCCTCTTTGCACTGCCGACGCCTCCCAACTCAGACATGCGCACCTCCAGTTGTCTGCCCAGCATGAGGCATCGCGCCACGGCCCTCCCAACCTTGACAGTCTCACACAATCGCTCGGCCGTCAGGCGGACTTGGTCGGCCACGTCGTATCGCTCAATCACTTCCTTCTCCAGCGTCTTGTACGATTCCGTTAGACTTGCAACCTGGCCTTGGACTTGGTGCAATATGCGCCCGCTTGCTTCGGCATCGTCTTTGGTGTGTTGGAGCAGCGGTAGTGCAGACTTTGTAGTTAGCGTGTCGATATGTGTGTCTACCTCTTGCACGTCAAAGAGAACGCGCGACAATGGGGTGGAGAGGTCTAGTGGGCTGTCGGACGCGTTGTTGGTTGCGAGAACAAGCGTGTTCGCAAACGACGTTGGCGAAAAGTCTGGGTCGAGAAAGGCTTCATAGTCAATGTATGAGGCTTCTTCATCGTCTCGGGACATGGCCGACGATGGTTGGTACTATCGCAGTTGCAGTTGGACAATGCCTGGCTTCTACCGAGACCCCCGACCTCGTTATCTTAGCGCCTCCTTATCTGATCCTGGACAGCCGCGCCACCTACTCACCGCCACGCCTACCTACCACCCAGGTGTCATGTACAAGGGCTATTGTAGTCGCCAGACACGCCTATTAGGTGCTTACTCACACTGTCAAGTACTTTACGCCACCGAGCTGCCACCGTCTTCTTTTTTGCATCAACAGTTAAGCTTGTAGTCGCGACATTAGCTTGTTCACTCATAAATAAATACCTGTCATTCAAGGGTTGGAAAGTATTGCATTGGAAAAACTATAGCTACAGATATCAGTTCGAGACTAATTGCCCAAGCATCATCATTTCTCCAACCGTGCCCTTGAGTATTTTTCTTTTTGTTTTTTGGCAGTTTTTACTTATATCATGTATCGAGTTTTATACGTCTTTCTTTCTTCTACCGAGAAGTACTGGCGAGCTCCAATTCGCAAGAAGACCTGAGCAAAGCCGACAACAGATCGTTCCGAGAACGGTCATGTCTCGTGTTGTCTTGGAGGTACACTGATGCGTGTGTTGCGAGTACAATCCCGGACTGGTCTGGCCCTTCGCTAGCAGAACAAGGCGAAAGAGGACCAACGTTGTCAGAGCTAGGTCGTAGCACTCACTTGATGCAGTATGTTGGGGAGGGAGAGAAACTGCGAGAGTTCGTATCGTAAATATCATGCCACGTGGCATACAAGCTGTCGGCTGAAATCGAGAGTTGCTATGACCACGCGCGGACGGTTTGTGTCCCAGGCCAAGAGCGCAATATGGCCAAGTGATCGGGAGAAGATGGTAGGTGTTTTAGCTCAGAAAGAGCTGAGAGTATTCGGGCCGGTGTCGAGAGTACCGAGTGGCCCAACATTAGCAATCATCTTTAAAAGGATGATTCTCGCTTTCTGAAAGGCCACACAAGTGCCACCGATGCTGTTACGCATGGAATGAAGGAAAGGGGGGAATAGACTGAGAAACACAATGCAGAGAGCTTTACAAGTTGCTCGGATGAAAAGAGATGAAAGTAGAGGTCCGCATGAACGTATATCGGCAGGACCAGCAAACCGACGGGAATCAGAAAGCAGATAGGCAGGCCCCAAACTGGCCTTGGTATATAGTACAGAGAAGATAGCCCAGATGGTCAAACCCCGTGTTGCGCCGATGATCCGATTCGTTAGACCTGAAAACACATCTTCAGGTGTCTCGCATCGCGTCGTCAGCGACTGCTTGCATGACCGCGCAAACAAATGAAAAACTCCAATGAATGCATTTGGAAATGAGAAAACCGAATGTCGTGATAGCCTGTAAGCCGGAAGGAGCCGAGACCAGGGACATTCAAATCACATTCCGTGGCCAATTAACCGCCCAGAAAGCCAGCTCCCACCGGATTTGGTAGGCTGCTCTAAGAAGCCTGTGGTGGGCCGGTAGGTTGCGGCCTTGGATTTCGCTGAGCATTCTGGCCGTTCTGTTGACGGTTCTGCTGGTTCGGTGGGAGCCCCCGACGCTGTCCCTGAAACTGGCCACCGCCACCACCGCCACCACCACGTCCGCCACGGTAGCCACCACGGGCGTTGGGGTTTCCGCGCGCAGCACCTTCTTGGTCCTGTGGTTGACCTTGTCCAGGAGCGCGCTGTTGATTAGACATGGGTCGAGGGATCGACTCAGGTGACTCGTAGACATATAGGTTCTTCTCGATGACCTGGGGAATAGGCTGGATTTCGGTGCCAAGCTCTTGTTCGATCCTATAAAGATTGAACCGATCTTCCCAGTTGATGAGGTTGATAGCCAAACCCAGGTGTCCGAAGCGGCCAGATCGACCAATGCGATGCAAATACGTCTCTGCGTTCTTGGGGAAGTCGAAATTGATGACGACATTGACCGCCTGGATATCAATACCACGGGTCAGCAAATCCGAGCAAACCAGATTCCGGCATACGCCATTGCGGAAGTCGTGGAAGACACGATTACGGTTATGCTGGAGCATGCGAGCATGCGAATAGAAGCAAGAGTATCCGAGCTCGGTAATCTTCTTGGCGAGAAGCTCAACGCGGTTTGTGGAGTTGCAGAAGATAATTGACTGGTTGATCTGGAGCTTATTGAATAGAGTATTCAAGCAGTGCACTTTCTGCTTCTCCTCGACGAAGGCATAGTACTGCGTGATACCGCGCAGCGTCAGCTCATCCATCAAGTTGATTTCGTACGGCGAGTTCATGTGTTTGTCCTTTGAAAAAGTCAGCAAGCAGATCGCTGTCTAGCATTATAGTGAAGGTACCTTGAAGCTCTTGACAACAATGGGAAAGGTGGCACTAAAGAGCATGACCTGGCGGTCTTTGGGGTGGAAGCCGAGCAGTTGTTCAACTACAGGGGTGAATTCGGGTGATAGGAGCTTGTCAGCTTCATCCATGACAAAGGTTTGACAAGCTGAAAGATCGGCTACGCCTTTACCAGCCAGATCGAGGATTCTACCGGGCGTGCCGACGATGATATGCACGGGATCGCTTAATCGTATAATGTCGTCCTTGAGGCCCGTGCCACCCGTGGATACCATGACGTTGATGTTGAGGTGCTTGCCCAATTGCTTGCATACTTGTGAGGTTTGTAGTGCGAGTTCTCGGGTCGGTACGAGGATGAGAGCTTGTGTCTTTGGGCTCTTGGGGTTGACGCGCTCGAGTGTGGGGATGACAAACGCAGCAGTCTTTCCGGTGCCGTTCTTGGCTCGCGCAAGGATGTCTCGACCCGTGAGGGCTACGGGGATCGTCTCTTCTTGGATGGGCGATGGCTTCTCGAATCCGGCCTCGAAGATGCCCATCATGAGCTCGCGCTTGATGTAAAAGTCTTCGAATTCTAGGCCTTTTGTTGCAGTAACATCCTGTCCCAGTGTTAGCTCACGGCCATGCTAATGGGCTTGTATGTGTCGTGTACCTCTGTTTGTGGCCGCGCATCCTTTGCGGGCGCTTGAAGACCTGCTTTCCAATCGGCTTCTCCTGAAGGTGCGGCATCGCTAGGGACATGTCAGCATGGGTCTCGAGCGAATCTTCACATTGCCAGTGCTCACCCAAGCTTCGTTGCCGCCATTTGGTTGGTCATCTCTGTAGTCATTGTGTGGGGTCTAGTCCACTGGACGTGGAATTGCTAATCAAGACGTTCCGTTCCGGTTATGCGAATTCAAGTGTCGTGTGAGGCGCAGCGCTTGTGGGAAAGCAGAGCGGGGTACGGTGAGTGGTGTAGGAAGGTTGCCTGTGTCGTATGGCAGTAGGTGGGGCTCGGGAAGATGGAGGAGAGGAACGGGCGTTGATGGAGTGCCTCTAGTCTGTCGGCGACTCAAATACTGAGCTTTGATGGTGGCTTACTGCGGCTCGGGAGCTGGAGTAGTCTTCAGGGAGTAGCTGATGTGCCTCTGTTAGGTCGGGCAGACGTCGACTACAAGTCTTCTGTTGACGCGGGGCAAACTGCGAGGGAGAATAAGTGTCAATATGGAGCTCGGGAGGCTAGGCGCAAGAGAAGTAGTGCAATTTTGTGCAGACGAGAGCGATTTGTGTGGTCTTGTGTTGTGGCAGCTGAGCGGGCCGCTTTATGCACAAAGGAACTTGAAGATGGTGGAGAGGGCACCGGTCCGTGCGCGCCTACTTTGTCATTGGCCCTCTTGACGTCGGTCCCTGCTTTACAGTCGGAAGCTCTCTATCTCTCACCAGTCTCCTTCAGCGGATTCCGCACCACTCACTCGCTCACTCACTTTGCTGCCTGGTTAATTTCACACTGCCTGTACTGTCACATGTCTGATACTTGGCTTCTTACCTTGTCTTTAGACTTCCCCACCTGCCTCCACGCCACACACGTGCATCGTGTCTAGCACTGCATCACGATAGTCCAAAACACCCATTGACTGTCTGTCTTGACACCAAAAAAAGCCGCAAAAATGTCCTCTCTCCTACGTCTGGCGAGGACGCTCCGCACCCACGGGGCCCCGAAGTGCACCAACACCATATCATCCCACAAACCCAGTCACCTTGGCTTACCCTCTTCACGCTTCTACTCCCGCAACCTTGGAGGCGGGGCCCGAGGGTATATCAACTACCAGGCCCAGGAGACTGCCAACAAAGCCGTTCTCTACGCCCTAATTGGTACCAATGTGGCCGTCTTTGGGTATGCAATGTACCTGAAGCAACAAGCCATGCAAGGCTATCAACTTCCCTTCGTAAAGTTCATGCAGAAAATGTCACTAAACCTGTCTGAATTCCAAAATGGGTCCTACCTTCCTATCTTGACTGCGAACTTCACTCATATAGACATTGGCCACGTCTTCTCAAACATGTTCTCTGTCTACTTCCTCGGATCCTTTCTCGCTTCCGCCCCACCCATCACCCCACTTCGCTACCTCACCATCGCCATTGGTTCTGGTGTCGCAGGATCTATCGGCTATCTCTACAATCGACATTCCCTCCTACAGGCTGAAGCTCCTGGCACACGGGACACTACGCGCGGCCTAGGATTCTCAGGTTCGGTAATGGGCATCAGCACTGTAGCTGCTTGTTTGGCACCGACTACTAAGGTAGCCATTTGGGGCATCATTCCCATGCCACTCTGGGCCTTGGTCACGGCATATGCGTTTTATGATGGCTTCTATCTGAATAGCAAGGAGAGTCGGGTTGGACATGCGGGGCATCTGGGAGGCCTGACTTTCGGGCTACTCTATTATTTTGCGCGCTTGAGGGGACTGAGATAGATATTAAGGTGGCGAGCGAGTCTTGGGCACCAAATTAACACGACGCATCCCTAAATGGCGTACTTGTCTTCAACGTTGAAATCTCTGAGTAGATGCACATCACGACGATAACTTGATCTATTTCCAACTCCTGCCAAACACTGTATATTGTATGACAACATGACCTAGCTCTCCTCTCGGCCACTGTATAGCCACATGAAACACCTTTATCGCCACTCAGACCCTATCATACTGCCATCTTTCCCATCGCACGTGCTGCTCAGACAATGAAAATTATTGGTTACATGAACCAATCGTCCAACTTGAATCTTCAAAGCTTGTCAGTAAATTGTTCTAACCTTGTCGCTAGAGTCGTTGTGGCTTACAACTCTCCCTAATCTTGCTTCATGTAGACTTCCTCGATGGACTGACAGACTCGGCTTCATCATAGGTACCAAATGCGGACATTTTATTCGCGCCCTTGTCGGCCATATTTACCCAAGCAGGCAAGCCCGTTGGTGTATAGGACCGCTTTGGCGAGTATTTGGGTGTTGTAGATTCTTCAAACTGCTTCTCTTCTTCACCGTCATCAGAGCTATCAGGAACAATCTCTTCAGATAGAGCACTCTTCCGGGGAGGCGGTCGCTTCCGTTTGACCATATCTTTGTCCTCCTCTATTTCGTCTTCTACAACCTCTTCAGAACGGCCACTCTTTCTGGGCCTGCCTCGTTTCTTGGGTACTTGGCCTTTGGCTTTCAATTTTGCTGCTTTTGCTGCCTTTTTCCTCGCCGCGAGGGAAAATTCTTCGTCTTCATCTGATCCCTCTTTCTTCCATGCTCGGCCTTTTCCCTTGAAATGCTTTGGTCGAGTGGGCTCGGGTTCGGGCTCTTCCTCTAAGAGAGCAATTGCCTCAAGCAGCGCGTCATCGATGTTTCTGCTCAAAGACGTCGCCGATACTCTTCTGCTCTGTGCGTTGTGCGACATGCTGTCTAGGTCCTGTCCGGCCCCATTAGTAGGTTCTACGTGCTCGAATAACTGTGAATCGTGATAGTAAGGTCTTTGCTGCGCAGGCTTTCGTGTCCTAAGTCCGCGTCTGGTGGAGCCGGTGGCGGCGTTTGGTGTGTCCGGCGAAGCCGCAGCAGAACCTGTGTCGCGATTCGCTTCGTCGTCAAATGTGGATGTTAAGTCCGTATTGACAGTGATGGTTGGCCCATTGACAGCTCCATCGGTACTGGGCGTAGTAGTGTGGGCCGGAACATTTGCGCCATCTACACTAGCGATATTCTCGGGCTTGGTCTTGTTAGCAGACTTCAGAGGCTTTCAAGAAGAAAGACTTACAGAGGTTCTCTCTTTTGGTGTCTTTCGCGTGCTCAACTTGAGTATGTGCGTCTTCTTGGGCGAACCCAAGGCAGGCACCGCCGCCGGTGTCTTATGAGCTGTATACTACTTAGCAATCGTACATTAAAATAAGTGAAACATGAACCAAGAGTCCAGAGGCCAAGTCTGGGTGGCGAATGAGATTCTTTGGTAAGCAGTAAGGATTCCCTATCCTGTAGAATAAAGAGATTTGGCAAATTTTTCTGCAGATACATACCAGGTCGGACGGGTAGCGGAGATGCCTTCGCTGGCGTTTCGATCTCGTCCCACGTCTTTTCCATTGGGTCCTCGACTTCATCATCAGGCGAAATAGTCTCTTCGGACTAGACATTTGTCAGTATAGGCGCATTTGCGTGCGAACAAGACAATGCCTACGATAGGCTTCTTTTTAGCTTTGCGGGTAGAAGACTTGCGCCCGCTGGCAACAGTAGTGATGGGTGATTCGGCCGCTTCAACCAAAGTGCCACCAAACTCGTGGGCGCCTTCTCCACTATCGCTGCCTGAAGCAACGATTTCCTCCGACTAGGCTGTTAGCTGTGGAAATCAGGGTGCTCCGATGATGCTTACCAATGGCTTCTTGCGCGCTTTTCGCTTCTTCTTTGCTGATGGACTTAGGTCCTCCGCGTTTGCGGCGGATGATGATTTCGCAGATTCAACGGATCGCTGAACTCCGTTACCAGCTGTTGAAGCTGATTTCCTTGGGCGCCCAACTTGGCCACGCACCTTGGGAGGTTGCACCTTGGCTTTGACCGTTTGATCATCTCCGTCCTGATGTTGTCAGTGAACGACGCAAATATGCAGATGTGAACTGATGACTCACGGTCGAGTCAGACTCGTCAAGAATGTCCAATGTCTTGTAGTACAGCGAGAGACCGTTGGTGTGCTGATTGGACCTTTTCCAAGCATCGAACGATAGGCATTGACCGATAGTTGCACGCTTGTATGCATCATACTCTGGCTGGCCGTGCTTATCGAGCCATGACGCAGGTGCTTCATCGCAAGCGTTGCGGGCGCGCTTTTTGCCAGACTCACAATGACCGTTGGGAGCCATGGAGGTCAAGAAAAGTCTCACTGACAACAGAAGTTGAGCAGACGTGGGAATCGCATGAAATAGTTGAGAAAAAATAACGCGCACTGATGATAGTGACCAAGGAATGCGCGATGAAAATCTTGGTCGACAGCAAATGGAAAACGGGGTTGTGTGCCGAGTGGCGCGCGAGGGTGATGAATGTGTGAGGAGAGTCGGCGTCGTGATGTGACAGATGGAGAAGATCCAAGTCACTCCGAGCAGATCCACGTCTCGTGGCACGTTAGCTCACAATCAAGAACGTCGCCGGGTACGATATGATAGGCAACGGCACTACTTACGAAAAAGAAGCAACCTGTCAATCCAAGTTTGGCCCGAATTTATGCTGCCGACGTCATGTCAAAATGGAGGTGTGGAAGTGCCCAGGTGGAATGGAGCCCAGGGTCCGCGCAGAAGGCAAAAGAGGACGCGCTAATAATGACCAATTTCAGCTTGGCCACCTACACCCACGACCTTTGTTTTGCGGTGTTTTGACATGCTTCTCTGCAAACATGAAAAGAACTTAACATTACGTTTCTCATCACACCTAATGCTCAAGACTCCCTGGAATTTATTTGCAATCTTTCGGGCTGCCACAAAGAGCAAGCCTTGCTGTCGTTTACACGGCAAGCTACCATGTCTTGAAATAAAATATATCATCGATTCCGGTTGCACTCATCATGAGACAATTCTGCTTCTGCTTCAGGAGTGCACCGAGGAATGGAATGACTCTTCACATATACTTATACGAGGCTTCTTAGCGCCCGCGTGGTCGTTGGAAAGGCATGTGTGAGCGCGCCCGACCACGTTTTCTGAGCGCGTTATGGTATTTGCGGACCTGTTGAACACAATCTAAATCGCATACATTCACCAACCGCTACACACCTGATCACATGCAAATGACAAGCTACAAGAAAGCTGTAGAGTCAATCCTCTTTTGGTTTCCTCATAACGTGTCTGCGGTGTACATTTGGAAATAATACACGACACACCTGGTAGAGTGAAGTCACCCAATTACATTTCGACGCTCGTTTGAGACGTGTCTATTGTATTGATGATGTGGTTTGATCGCTCAATTGAGACTTGGAGTACCATTAGAGTCTACAGGAATGTTGCAGAAAAGATGGATATATTGTAGGTAAAGGTCTGTACAAAAAGACTCACAGTCAAGACACCATCGTAGGGAAACAATAGCATTCAAACACTATAAATCACTCCAGTACCACACGCAGTCTTTCACTCATTGCTCAGGTATATACAAAGTCAAGTCCACAAGCCAATCGATCCCTTCATGCAACCAAACAGCCCCAATCACGAATGCGTGATTCGCAGAAAAACATGCAAAAGGCCACAGCGCGAAATGCAAAGATGGGTATACAAGGACGAACCCAGCCACCTTGTCAGAGTAGCAGAACAAATTTGCTGTCCGCCAAAAGTGGGTGCCGAAAATAAGAAATGGTAAACGCCGTGTGTCATATGGGACCCTGCAGATAGTTGCATAGTCGACAGTGACTTCCAGAGGAAACATCAGAGTCTCGAAGAAATGGTCATGTGCCAAAAGATTAAACAATGACTGCAAAAGGTGGCCCTGATCTGGCTGTGAAAGATGCTGAAAAGTCAAAAGTGCGAAAATGAAATGGCCGGATGATACTAGACACCTTCTCTCCAGTCGGTGGCATCGTCAGGTCTGCCAGCTAGAAGGATTCTGGCGGGCTAGGCATCCCATGTGCGCTCCCGTCATCCTTCTCTGGCTCTTGGAGGCTGCGAGTTTCTTTTTGTGTTGGCTCAAGCTTTAGTTTACCCACAGGCTTTCCAATACCCTTCATATAGCTTCCATGATCATTGCCATTTTCGTCCATGGCTTCATCAAGTTTGCGCTTTTTACGCGCCATCTGCTGCTGTTCCCTGATGGGACGCTTACGAGGACTAGAAATCTTGCCTGTAGGTGGTAGGCGAGGCTTGGGGAAGCGCTGCTTCGGTGGAAGCTCATCGTCTTCAACAAGAGGTTGGCTGTTGTTGTCTTGGAGCTTGCGGTAGAGCCAGCCCTGGAGTAGACCAATTTGGTTTTCAGCCGTCTGCAGGGTGACAGGCTCGAACTTGGGTGGCTCAGGCATGATGATACCAGTGGTGGCAACATTACTATGAAAGTCAGTAGTTTTCTTGCGTACAGGCATCGCAGAACATACTTGTTGTCTTGCCTAGCGTAGGCATTGTGCACCCTGTTCTGCAGCAGATGTAACGGCACACTCGAGGTGAGTCCAAATTCAATGTCGAGACCAAGCTCTTTGAAGCCGAAGAAATCTTCGCCGATATCTTCGGCAAAGTCACCACCAACGAATTGTTCGCTGCCATCATTGAATGCACCAGCACCGTCAGCGCCAGCATTGTCCATGGCTGGTCTGAGAAGTTCGGCATAGTACGATCGCATTCTATCATGCATTCCACCAAGTTTCGTACCAAGCCTTTCAACATCATCCTTGACGTACGTCTCTAGAGACTCGAGATCGACGCCGTTAGCATGTAGAGAGTGGAGCACAGCCTCTTCTTGGGTGAAGCGCGGAGCCCAGGTCGTGAGCTGGCCGTTTGGAAGCGTGATTGGGACCTCGGACTTCATCTTGGGTGTTTCTCGATAGATTCCCAGGCTTGCAACTAGGTTTTGGAAGAATTTTGCTGCAATGTCAGTCACAGCGTCAAGTGCCGATGGCTGGAATTCTTCGAAACCAGCATGATAGAAGATCTTGCCAACACTGCGCTGCAATGCAGCGCGGCACACATAAGGTGCCATGATCGGGCCGTCCTCTGATGTCACCATCGGCTCAATGTCCGCTTCCATGAAAGGCTGAGGCTCGTATCTTTGAAATTGATTTTGATACAGCTTGTCGAAGTCAGTAACCAGCTTCGTCAATTTGCTCCCATGAATGACTTACCTGCGACTGGAGTTGCATTTGTTTGACGATGCCAATTTTTGCGCAGATCTTCCTAGTTTCTTGCAGAGTATGGTTATTATCGTCAAATTTGTGCACCAGTGCACTGTCCGGTGAAATGAATTGGCCCTTGGGAAAGATCCTCATGTACTCTTCGGCTTGAGGAATAACATGACCCTGGGCATCTTCGACCCATTGCAAACGATCAGACAAGTCAGGTATGGCACAAACAGGGTCATAGTAATCTGGGATTTGGCGCTCCTCTTCACCTTCGATCCCTTCAGCAAGTGATTCACCAGCTGTCGCTTGCACACCGTCTTTCCCGTCTGGAGCCAAGACGGCTCCACTGGCAGAGTCTTGCTCCATTGCTTGTTTGCGGTGCCTCAACCATCTTCTCATACCAGCTTTTGTGCGCAGAATGGCAGGCTCATCCGGCTGGAGGTGGTCGTCACGGAAGAGGCGATGTCTCTCCGATGCAATGATTGCCCGGTCCTTCTTGGTCACTTGTTTCCAAGTTTTGTATTCCATGTCGTCTAGATCAGCATCTTCGTCAAGAGTATCGCTAACAGAGATGCCAGTGCCGTCAACATCTGAAGCGTCAGCTTGACTGCCATGGAGACCATTTCGTGAGATACTACTGGGGCCCAAAGGTGTCGAGGTGCCAGGCGGGGGTGTTGAGAATCCATTGACGCTGCCCTCCATTTCGGAGTCTGCGCGAAGGAACTCGTTCTTCAAATTAGACACGGCATTGTTAAGAGATGGAACTGGCGGCTTTGACTCCGGCCCCGGCGTATCCTCCAGACCTGCTGGAGGAGCCTTTCTTGCATTACTTGAGCCTTTGCCTCCTTTACTGGGTGCTTTCCGTCCGCGCGAGGCCATGATGGGTTCTTCGTCCTCGCTGTCATCTGCGCCGTCAGCGTCGGCGTCACCGTTGCGCATTCTGCGCTCCTCAGCCTCGACTTCAGCTCGATCCCGCACAGTTATGTCTGGGATAAGGGGCACCAGCTTCTCCGTCTCCTTCTTCATGTGCAAGGCCTTTTTGCGGAGGAAATGGCTGGGGTCGGCATTGTACTTTAAGCAGTTTGCCCAGATTAGCATGAGATCGTCGACGAACTCCTTTTTCGACTTGTACTGCAGCTGCTTGAGCTTCTTCATCATGGTGCCAATATCCATCGGGTGTTTGATGACGTTGTAGTAATCGGGGGCCTCTCGTTTGTTGACGCGTTGCAGGAAGGGATGGGCGTGCTCATTGGCTTTGAGTTCCATGAGCACCTTTTCCGTGCTTTCGTACAGCTCCTCCTGGCCGACGCGGTCCTCGTTGGCCCACTTGCTCCTGTTCTTGCGGACTTCGCTGATGAGGCTGCGTAGCTGGGCATCTGTGGCGTGGACACGGTCCCTTTGGGCATCAATGCGCGAGATGAGATGCTTGAGGGTCAGACTGGATGCGCCAAGGTTGGTGGTACTCAACGTGCCCTGCTGGGGGGCGGCAACGACACCGTTGGTGGGGGCATTCGCAGGCGCACCCGACGTCTCAATCTCTACCTGTCGGTCCAGTTCATCCAGCTTCTGCTGCTCCAGCATGGCATCGCGGTCGCTCTCGAGAGTGTAGAAGAGGGTGTGGAAGGTCCGCTTGGCAGCATCCTCGGCAGCCTTCTTGTCCTGCTGCAGCTTCTTGCGTACGTCGTCGGATGTCTTCACAACGTCGGATGAAGGCGTCCCTGTCCGGTCGTGGCCCGACTTGTTCGATGTGGACGGCACGCGGAGAAGGCTTGGCGTGCTGGGAGCGGCCGCAGCGCCATTGGGAGCGCTTTTGGCGTGCAGCGGCGAGGTGCGGGTATCATCGTCGTCTTCTGCATCGTCTTCATCATCATCGTCGTCGTCGTCGCCGTAGTCATCCTCATCGATTGCGCGGGTGAGCTTCTTGGGCGTCATGGCCGGGCGCGCGTCATGCGCCGCGGGAGCAGGGTGGAAGGGTGGCCTCGGGGCATGGTCAAAAACATCAACGGCATCGTCCTCGTATGTTCCTCCCAGCACGGCAGCCAGGCGTGTCTCGGTGCGCAAGTAAAGCTCCCGCCAGCGCGCCGCCCTGGGATCCTCATCGGCTGTCGTGTCGGCGCCATCGGCCAGGTGGTTCGCGTTGGAGGCGTTGGACATGGCCTCATCATTCAGCGGCGCATTGGGGGTGCGCAAACGTGTCGCGTTGGGCGGCTGATGCAGGAAGCGGGCATGGCTTGGACGTTCTCGCGAGGATGGCGGATATGGAGATGCAGCGAGGGACATAGTCGTCGTCGTCGGTTGTGGGGGGTCTTGGCGGTTCGCGGCCTCACGGGGATGGCCCGCCTTCAGGGCGACGTCCAACCTGGTGCAGGTGTCGCGACGCGATAAAATCAAGCATGTGAAAAAGGCCTACGTCGAGCGAGCAGTTTTCTGATGACTGCGAGATGGAAGACTGTATGTGGGCGCGCCCCTTGATGGCCAAAGATGCGGCTTGTGTGTTTGGCGTCGTTGTCGTGAGGTGCAGGTGGTCCAGTTCGTACTAGGTAGGCACGCCTTAGCCTGGTTAGCGATGCGCCCGCCGCGAACCCCATGAATCACCCGCGTTCCAATATCAAACTGGCCTGCTGGTCTGCACCACACCAAACCCGCTCCACAATAGCTTTTGCGTGCCGCTTGCAAGCACCGAAGCACCCAGATGCACGCTAGAAGCCTCTGCTCAGCTGCTGCGCGGGCTTTGCACCTTGTGGACGACGCCGAGTTATGCCGACGGTGTGCTGCCCCGACGCCGTTTCCAGCAAACAGCGACATCTGCAGTATAATATTTCTTCCACCTACATGTAGGGCATAGCGCCCAGAGCGTTACCTCATCGGACTGAGACCTGGAGAAACTACCCCAGAGCCGCCGCCGCACTTGCAGCTTGATCGATTTTCACAGGTTCCACACGTGATCGGCGCCAGTACTTCCCAAAGTAGCTAGCTCCACAGCGGTGCGAGCTCGCTCGTGGCAGGCTGGCAGCAACGTTGCAGCACCGCGTCTGACAGCTCTACCCATGCCTCCCACTATGACTATGCGCCTCAGTCAGTCATAGCACCATCCTCTCACTTACAATGCGCATACGAAAACCCTTTGCCGGTATGTGGCTTACCCTGTATACTCGACGGAGCTTTCCCAGCTCAACTATACGAGTCGCAACCAAGAGGCGGTCCCCGGAAGCTGGGATATCTTCACTGGATCCTCTGCTGACGACCCCTTTCCGCACAATCTATTCCACACATACAACGCTAACAAAACATTGCAGGCGCCTTCATAGGCCTGATCTTTGTCAGTGCCGCTGCCGGCTTCTCCCCATCCGACTACAAAATCCCCTCGTACAAGCAATCCGACAAAGCGCTCCACTTCATCACCTTCTTCCTGCTCACATTGTGCTTCTACTGGATACTAGAAACAAGCCGGAGGAAGGTGTTGCAGCTGACTTTTACCGTGTGCACTATTGGCCTGGGCGTTGCTAGCGAGGTCGTGCAGGGCTTGTTGCCTGTAAGCCATCTCCCATGCTCCTGGCGGGCTGTTTGAGTCGTACAGAGACGATGTGCCTATTTGGCGAATCTGGGGAGAAGGGTGCAGGTGCGGCGTGCGGCGTGAGTGTTGCAGGCTAACGCACAAACAGATACATCGCACCTTTGATTCCTATGACATAGTCGCCAATGTTCTGGGATCTCTTGTTGCACTGGGAGCGTGCAATTGGTATCATAAGCGCATGCTCGGGCGCAAGCGGGCTGCGCGCGGGTACACAGCAGTCGCTGGCGATGAAGAAAGAGACATTGAGCTAGGAGATCATATTCAAGACCAGGAGTCGGGCGTTGTCAGACCCACAGTCGATGAGGAGCTCGAGCGATGGGATGAGAATGCAGAGGACTGGGACACTACTGAGCCAGAGCCGGCAAGCGGAAAGAAGAGTCTCGACAACGGTGGCGACTTGGGTGAGGGAAAGCGGAATGACTGAAATCATTACGTGTACCATGTCTATGACCATGAACAAGCCTGAGATTGAAAGCCCAAGCATCCAACCCGCAAAAATGACCATTTGTATTGCCCAGCCACGTCAATGTGGCGAAATGTATCCATTACGGGTGCTGGCTAACAAAACGTATCAACATCACCCAGGTGGACGGTGAACTGGTGCAAGTTGACTTGGATATTCTTTTACAAGTTCATAGCTAGCTCTCCGTGCTCCCGCAGGTATTTCCGAGCAAGCCTCAACCGTGATTCGTCATTTGGCCTGCCCCCATCTTCCGTGGATTCATGCATTTTCCAGTATGACATTCCGAAAGACCCATAAGACCCACACCAAGCGCCATGATCATTCATTTCCCTCACCCGCGTCCTGCTTAAGCAGTGGTAGTCTTAGCAGCGGCCTGGTTGGGGTTGATCTTTTTGCCGTCCTTGTTGTACCTAACACGTGGAGGAGGGGCACGGTTGCGGCGACCTTCGCGCGAACGCACACTGCACAAGTTACGTTAGAATCTGATGTTTATCCGGTCCTTTGCCTAGTCGAACATACCGCACAATCTTGCCGTGGATGGCGCACGAGACGCAGTACTGGAGTTTCAGGTACATCTTGGGGACAGTGTACTCGGGGAAGACCGAGGCATCAGAGATATCACCTGCGTAATGTCAGTCAACATCTTCTACTCCGTCGTCGTCGGACTGGTGCCGCGCAACGCATTGATAGACATACGGATGGCGGCGGACTCAACCATGTTACGGATGGTGAATCTCTTGATTGCCTTGTCCTTGGGTGTGCATCGCGAGCAGTTGGAGCAACGGATAGGCTTGACGTGGCCACGACCCTTCTTGTTACGGCCGTTGGACGCTCGCTTCTTGACCATGTTGGGCTGATTCTATCGAGATGTGTAAGCGGGTGACTTGAGCGACGATGTACAAAGTTTTGCGTACTGAAGATGTGAAATCTAAAAGTCAGCAGTGGGGTGTTGTCGTTGAGAGTCGTTGCTGACGTCGGATTCGTGAAGTCGGGCAGGCAGGCACGACGTTCGAAATTCGCGTAGCGAGGTGCGGATCTAATCTTATCGCTTGGCATCAATTACGCTAGCCATATCCAGCTACATGGCTTTCCCATCTGCAGAACCATCTAAATTTGCGTCAAAGACGGCCTGGTAATCCTATAAAAGTCCGCTAAGCAGCTCCATGCGAGACACCTAGCCTTCTTGTTGTACCTATGACGTGTCTCATCCCACGTGATATCGAAATTTCTCCCAGCTTCATGTCAGTAATGCGGATCTTTCTTCTCCAGCTTTCGATACGGTCATGGTGTTTTGACTTTGGCAAGATAAAGTTTATGATAATGACATGATTTCTGATCAATCTCCACCGATTTCCTGACTGTGACTAGGTGTACGCGATACATGTCACGGAACGTCCTCTTGTAGAACTCATAGTAAGTTGCTCCATCACATATAGTGGGTCAATGAATCTGAAGGATAAGAACATCTGAGCCGGTAGGCTACGATTAATGTCAAGCTTGCTTCAACCCATTGATCACGAGGATCTTCGGGGTATTTTTTGTTCTACCATTACGCCCGGCCAAACATGTCTATGGATGGTACTGGGGTAGTGACAGGGAATGACGGGAATCATGGGGGGAATCTGTGATATATCTAACCTGACCTAACCAAAATAAGCAGCTCGCCGTGGTAGGAGTATTCCCATCTCGTTATCCTCCTGCTTGACACCAGTCCTCTGACTTGAGGTATCCGTTCTCATCAAATCGTGTCATAACATCCGACGGAACGCCATTCATGCAACATGACCAAGGTGCTCTACCTACACAAGGCCGTCTAGCCAGCCAAAGACTCTGCCACTTAGCCTCTAGCTAAAATAAACCTGTGCTGTACGCTGTTGTTCCGGGGTCAAAGTCGCCGCGGCTTGGCTGAGATCGGTGCTCGTGGCTTGGATAAGTGCTTTGACCGAGATAACAACCCGGTTGGCGGTTTGACCCTGTAGAGTCTCAGCCTCGAGTGCCTGGACAACGTAGTTGAAGACTTTGGCAGGTTGGGAGAAGACAGTCTGGTTTTGCCTGCAAAAGGTGTTAGTTGTGTGGGTACAATATTGGACATAGTAGATACTGACTGTTCAATCAATTGGGCAAGGAACGCATACGCATACGGCGTAGCCTCTTCATCGTTTGTGATAGGCAGAGTGTCTACCCAGGCAGCCGCGACACTATCCCAATTCTGCACCTTGCTTGAGTTGTAGTGCAGAATCTTGGCAATCGCAGCGGATGCGTTCTCCGTTGCGAAGATGTCGTCGTCGGCACGAGCGTTGGGGCGTTGGGTCACCTGGAAGAGCATGGGCAAGGAGGCAGCAACAAACTCCGACCAGTTCTCGCCACCCTTGTGAGCTGCTACACCAACACCATACACGGCAGCTTGACGATTGGCGGGGACATCATCCTGCATGCCGTCAATGAGTGGTTGTATGATGTGATCCTTATATTGCCAGGACTCCGGGCCACAGAATTCTAGCACATCGTCGTAAATGCAAATAGCCCACTGGCGTTGGGTGGGATCTGGGTTGACGACGGCAAGGCCATAGAATTCGATCAAGGAGGCCCAATGTGAAAGGAACGCTGTGCCCATGGTTTTGAATATACTGTGGAACGCCTTGTTCATGTCGGAAAGGAGATTCTGGTCATCCTCAATAGCGAATAGGGTCTCCTCCGACGCTTCCTCGCCATCTTCATTGTCGGCCTGCTCTTCCAGGCGTTCTTTGACACGAACATTGTAGTCTTCGAGTACGCCCCTAGCTGACTCCACGAATGAGGTCATGTGCGCATTTGTGAGACAATTTTGGCCGATGCACTCTAGACACTCGTAGAAGCATTGGTACATCTCGGCAAGAGTATCGATGGCGGGTTCGGCGCTCAAGACTTCAAGGACACGCTCCACAGTACGCTCCCAGAGCTGGCCCAACTGTGTAGACTCTGGACCATGAGCCTTTTTGTATGCGTTTAGCAACATTGGTACACACTTGGCAGATGCGACTCGTACAGGGTCGTGGAAGAAGAATGCAAGACCAGGAAGGGCAATCTTGTCCATAATGTCGTTGACATAGGGCTCAAATGCGTCCTCGAGTACTTGTGCATAGATGACAATAAGCTCGATAGCCATGTGCTTGTCATCAAGGATGCTGGTCTTGATTCCAATGACTTTGCCTTTTAGAGGTACCAGCTCCCAACCTTCTTCATCTTGTATTTGTGCGACCTGATCTTCATCATCAAGTAGTTGGATGTCAGCCTTAGCACCAGCAAGTTCGGTCAACGGTGGAATGACGCCAGCGAGGAAGGGCACGAATTCGCGACCCAGTACGCGGCACATGCGACCCCAGCAGTGGAGGAGGTAAGAGGCTTGAGGATCGTCGGGCTCCGAAACGCTGTTTTGGATCCGCCCGAGCAGCTGGACAAGGCTAAGTGCGTCTTGGCCCATGCGATCTTTGCCGACAGCGAGAGCGATGAGTGTGGCGCACTCCATAGCCTTGGCTCGAAGCAGCCGGTACTCCTTGGATTGTTCCTCTTGCAGTACATTGAACAGGAGCGGCATAAGGGTGTCGTAGTACTTGGAGAAGGCGGCCTCGGCTGAATCAGCAACAGTGGCAATGGTAGACAGAGCCTGTTCCTGGACAAAACGCTTGGGGCTCTGCAAAAGCATAAGCAGATGGTTGAGTAGCTGATCTAGATATGGCTCGAGAATGTTCTTTTCGGCCTCCTCGCAGAAGTTGACCAGGGCTGCAGCAGCATGTGCTTGCACGCGGGGTTCTGAAGACTCCAACACAGGGATGATGTTGGGCAAGACTACTTGATGGTATTTCTCTTGCATGGTTCCAGCGAAGTCGGTTGACATTTGGCCGACGGCATTGCAGGCAGCCCATCGAACACGTGGGTGAGGGTCTCGAAGAGCGGGCAGTACAAGATCCAAGACCTTGTCAAGCTCGCCGACCATTAGTTCGCGGCAGCCTTCAGATATGGCGGAAATAGCCATGAGGGCGGCGTGCCTGTCGCGCCAAGCTGAAGATGTCATCATGCGAGGCAGCCAGTTGAAAGTTGGGGGCAAGATGGCTTGTCCACCCAGCTTGTTGGCTAAGCGATCCATGCACTGCTCACCAGCAACGTGATTCGAGTCACTTTCTTCGTCCAGCTGCTGTATGTTAGCGCAGAAGCAGACGTGAGGATGGTTCTACTCACGTCTTCGGACACGTTCCACTCCTCGGCATCATCGTCATCTGCACCGACATCTGTCATCAGAGATAGACATTGCGTGACCATGTCGTTGGTAAAGTTGGCGTCTTTCTTGCACATGACGGGAGCATTGTCTGCAAAGGTGGCCATGAGCTCCAGCGCGTTCTGGCGAGCAGTCTCTCCAAGGTCCTTGTCCTGGATGACGGAGATGCTGAATTGAACGAGGCTGTTGAAGAGAGGCTTGAACATCTTAGGAGCGACCTCGGCAAGATCAATGAGCGAGATGAGAGCCTTGGTGAGGAGATCAGCATCGCCAGAGTCTTTGATGGGTGGCAGAATGTTGAGGATCTCGCCGATGAGCGAGTAGTACTTGGACTGGGCCTTCTTGGTAATAGAGCGGAAGAAAGAGGCAAAGGCCTCGACGGCCGCAATTCGGACCTGTCAAGGTGAGCTGGAGTTTGAACAAGGTGTAGGCAGACTACCCACCGAAGACTCGCTGTCGCCAAAGCCGCCCTTGAAGGCCGTCATGACAACGTCTTCATGCTGCTTCTCGATGATTTGCGGCGTCGTGGAGAATATTCTGAAAGCATTCTCACGCTGTGGGGCGTCCTGCGACTGGCTGGCCTGGAAGAGGGCTCCAAGGAGTTCTGGCCATGCAACGCCTGTGCAGTTTTAGAATTTGGTCTCGGACGCCGTCACGTACATGGCATCTGCCTACCTTCGTCTGTGTGCTGGCGCGCGAGCTCGGCCACGGCATCTCCGACCTTTGTGCGTACCGACGTGTCGGCCTCGTTGGCGAGGCATTGGAGGAGCTTTGCGCGTATGGCTTCTCGCTCGGCGGGGTTGAGCGTCAGGAACAGGTCGGCTGTCTGGCCTGAGGCGGCCTTGCGTGGTTTCGACGACTGTCGCCTGAAGATGACAGCGGCAAAGGTTCGCGTCTGCAGTGTCGCACGTGAGTCTCGCATGCAGCGCTGGTACTACTAGAGCGGGGCTTACTGAAGTGTCCTGGGCCAGTTCAATCTGCTCCGACAAGCCCATCAAGAGCACGTCGGGCCTCTGGTTGACCCATTCCTCGTTGAGCTGCTGCTCTGCCGTCGCGCGCTGCACATTATCCGGCGACTGGAGGCCTTGTAGCAGCGTGGCAAGAGCCGTGTGCACCTCGGGAGGGAGAACAGACATGTTGTGGTTGTAGTTGGGGAGTTCCGAGTCTTGAAGGGGAGCGGGCCCCGGTGAGTTGTTGCGCCCTTCGCAGCCAAGAAGGAACTACCACGGGCGGATGGCGGATGGCGGATGGCGGATTTTGGTGACTTTTGCTGCTGTAGTGCTTGCGATCCGTCGTACAGGTGCAGGTGCAGGTGCAAATGCAAGTGCTTGTGGAGCGACACAGTCAGCCTCTCTGCCGTGGCTACCTAGTGGCTAGGTAATATCCAGAGCACCGTGTGCTGAGACTGGCAGGGGGTCTTGTCGGTTTCGGCGTCTTCTCCTTTGTGTGTGGCTTCTAGCGTTGCCGTGGAAATTTCGCTGCCAGCTGCAATGTTTTGGCGGGGCTCGCTGTCTTGTCCCAAAAATGTTCTCCAACCACGAGCAAGGGTGGTGGCTGTAAACTAGGTACCTCCACCCCGCCTCGTCATTGGTCACCTGTACTATCGTCTACACCGACCGCACATGCACTGCAACCTATCATCACGTGCACCTTTTTGACGTCAAGCGTCCAGCCCACACCCCTTGCTTTTCAGTAATCATGACATATCTCAATTTGTCTTTGTCTACGCTACGAAACACCCAGGGATCTATGGGATATCAATTACCTACTAACAAAGGAAACAATGCACTCTAGCTCCCACTGCAATCGCAAACTGCTCGACACATTACCACTAATCCCCTTTACCGGCTCGAGGCACGGCCAAGTACAAACACTCCGACAATCACAACGGCAAGTACGCCAATCGCTCCCGGTAAAAGGAGGTCGTTCGGAACTCCAGCAATAATTTCCGGCTGCTGCGAGAGAGGCACAGGTTGGTTCCTGCCTCGAGACCTAGGTGTTTCGTCCTCTTCGTCGTCGAAGAACTGCTTGCGCTCACGAAGGGTGGATTCAGGCGGTGTCACGGGCTTGGGCAACCCCGGCTGTGGGTTGACTTCAGCAGACATCGGCGCCTTGTCAGGGTCATGTACGAAGAGATCGACTTTTTCGCGATGCGCCATGCGTGATAAGCTGATGGCCTCAACGAGATCGTCATGCGTTGTGATGGAAATCGTGTCGCCCTCATTATCAAGGTAGCTCAGAGCAAAGCCGGCTCTGGAGATCTTGCCTTCGTCGAATGTTGGGATGCCTCCCAGAGCCTCGACCTCTCCACCGAGCTTATTGGCTACGTTGGAGATGAGTTCCTCAATACCGTGAGAGGCCACCACTTGCAGGCGGTGGACGCGACCGCTTGGAGCCTTGAACTTGAAGGGGAAAGGCATGTCCTCCATAGTTGCAGGATGATTGCTTGCTACGGCAGACTGCGGGGGCGAGTCACCTCCATGGTGCGAGGCAGACTCGTTAGGCAATACGCTATCACCGCGATCCATGAGACCAGGGCGGTCGTTGTGCGAGACGTATGATCGGTGGTCAGGGTGTCGGCTTCCGCCCTCGCCAGACATCATCGATTCAGTCTCGTTGTCAAGCGAGAGCCAAAATTTGTTCCATGCCGGGCCCTCACTATCTGTGGTACTGATGTTGTTGATCTGTGTACAGTTAGTGTCACGATACATAAATACAATGTCCCGCAACGTACCTGGTCTAGCGTCGCATATGTTAACTTGAGCACGTCCACCATGCCGACAATTTCGCCCGCGTCGCTCATGACAGGCAAGTTGAGGTAGTGCCCATCTGAAGAAAGTTAGTGCTATCCAAAGTACAGCGCATGGGATATTGCGCTCACCATGCATCTTGCGAAGAGCAGACTGGATGCTCATGTCCATGGGCGCAAAGTCGGGATGGGGCGTCATGACGCGAACAACACTGCAAGTCGATGGATCGAGCCCCGCGGCAATAACGCGGAGGACGACATCTTTGCTGGTGAAGATTCCAGTAATGGAGCCATTGTCCTGCACCAACACAGCCGTGGTATGGTGCTCCTTCATCAAGGCTGCGGCTTCTCGGACAGAAGTGCGCACAGATACCGTGGTTGGAGGAAGACCAGTCAGGACAGACTCCAGAGTAGGCCCAGACATCTTCTGGCGAATAGCCTCGACGTAGTTTATAATTTCAGCTGGTTGGCTAGAGCCCATCTCTGCCTGCACTCCCTCGAGAGCGTCGTAAAGCTTGCGAGAAGAGCTATAGGCACGCTCCAACTTCTCCATGGCGTCGTAGAAGCACTTTGTAATGTCCAGGATACCAGAGATGTCGTGGTTCTCGTCCATGACGGGAAGATGACGGAAGCCCTTCCTGACCATGAGGTCCAGGGCATCGGTCGCGCTCGTATCTGTCTTTGCGCAAAGGGGATTCTTGGTCATGATCTCCTCGATAGTGACGTCGCGCGCCTTGATTCCAGCGCCGACAACCCGGAAAGCCAGATCCTTTGCGGTGAAGATGCCTGCAATGCGATCGTCGTCGTCAGTGACCAGGACGCAGTCCTCGCGCTTGGCCGCCATCAATTGCGCAGCCTCGGCCACGGTAGTTGATGGTTTGATCTGGAGGGCGGGCGACGGCTTCAGGGCGAGGACGGTGCCAGGCGGGGCTTTCTTGGACAGGCGCACACGTCCGCTGTGGTTCTTCTTCTTGTTGAGATCGGATTCGATCTTTCGACGGATTGCCTGGTGCCCGATCAGCATGCAACCATACACATTCCAGCAAAGCCACTCACGTCGTCCCTCTTGGACATCTTTGCCCGACTGGCACTGAGCGACGAGCCGCCCACTTCGCTCTGCGCAACATGGGTGGCGTGGGTTTCAAGCGCAGGCCGTGGGATGCCAGAAGGACTGTGGCCGAACTGCTGGGGCTGGTTGCGGTTCGTGGGCTTAGGTGTCCCCCGCATCGTACCGGTATGTGACATGGCGAAGACTATGCTTTTTGACACCCGAGTTGATTTTGCCTGGTTGGCGAGTGAGGGGCCAGTAGGAGGGATTACGGCCGCCTTTGCGGGAGTCGACGTGGTTGCCAGGGTTCACTTGCTAGACGAAAACAATGTCCGCCCAGACCGCCACTCACCACCTGCAACTTTTTCCCATCTGACTTGCCCACAACACACACACACACACGTGCCGCCCCCAGGCACAGCATGTCGTCGGCGTGCAGCAGCGACCCTTGATAGTTGATAGTATACATACTAATTCCTCAAACACATCAAGCACATCAAGCACGACCGAGCTGGCATCCAATCCAGACTTGATAATTTCGCAACTTCAGGAACAAGAATGAGCCCCTCATTGCTCCGTATCACGCTTGCCTGACTCACCCATTTGCCCAAAACCACGCTTGTTCAGTGTCACGAGGAACCTGTCACGCCCTGCCTGGAAAGCTGACAAACAGTAACTTTGAGACGGCTCCATGTCGCACTCAGAATGCATGTGCTGCTACTAGACTTGCTTGGACATGACCAAGCACAAACTGATTTCAACCATTTGTATTTCCAAGATTGGCCTCCTTCAACGCCGGCCGGCCTAGTCCGCTTCTTCCACGGACCCCGAATCGCTATGCTGGAAGGGGATATAACACCAAAAGCGCCTCAAATGTATACGTCGCCGTGACTACAACTACGCGCCCTCACTACCAAACTCCTTTGTCCACTCTGCGCTACGCTTCAGATCCTCGCCACTAACCGTCGGTCTTGAAGCCTTGATCGCCTTGATAAAGTCCTTTACCTTGAGCGGTGGTTCAAGGAGTTGGTCACCATCTAGATCTGTCCATGATTTTTCATGCGCCTGCGCATCTCCTGGTGAACAAGGTGTCCATTTGGTCTCTCCGTCAACCTCGACCGGTTTGTAGTGTGTCGCCGTCTGAATCAGTCGCACCGGCTGCATGAGCGCATCCTGTACTGCGATGGATATATCAGAGCCTGAGTAGCCCTCACTTAGCTCTGCGAGTTTCTTGTAGTCTGCCTGGGTGAGTTCGCATGGTGTGTTTCCAACAGCGAGCTCGAACATTCTCATGCGCGCCGGCGTGTCTGGTAAGCTAATGTGCACTCGTCGCTGAAATCGCCGTCGAATAGCAGAGTCAAGTTGCCATGGGATATTTGTCGCCCCAAGAATGAGCACACCTTTCGAATCTTTGCCTACACCGTCCATTTGTACCAGCAGCTCGGTCTTGATACGTCTGGACGCCTCTGATTCGCCTTCGCCTCGGGGCCCGCAGAGCGCGTCAATTTCGTCGATGAAAATGATAGAGGGTTTGTTCTCGCGCGCCATTCCAAAGAGCTGTTTAACGAGCCTGTTTCATGTCAATTTATGAGTCTCATAGGCGTGCTAGCTGTGACTTACCGTTCCGATTCACCCATCCACTTGCTCACCAGGTCGGAACTTGACACGCTGAAGAAGGTACTATTTGCCTCGGTCGCAACAGCTTTTGCCAAATAACTCTTACCAGTACCTGGTGGTCCGTACAACAATATGCCCTTCCAAGGCTGTCGCTTGCCAGTGAACAGATGAGGGAACTTGATGGGCAAAATGACAGCCTCTTTAAGCGCTTCTTTTGCCGCTTCAAGACCGGCCACGTCCTCCCACCGAATATTGGGCTTCTCGGACAAGATGGCACCTGCGAGCGCACCGCGAAGTTTCTTTGAGTCTGCGTCTTGCTCGCCTTCGTCGTCATCGCTGTCATATATTAGCTGTAATGCTCCGTATTATTTCACTTGAGCCTTGTACAAACCCTCCGCCCTTGCCACTGCCACCTGCTGATTTGCCGTTTGAGCCCATGGCTGCTGGTTTCTTCCGATTCGAGGCGTCGTTTTGGTTCAGGTGTTGCTTCAGCTTCTCTGCACGCTCCATGTATTCTGCGACTTTGCCTCTAATCATATCCTTGGACTTCTGGTTCTTCTCCCCTACGCGGTATTAGTAGGCCAGATCTAAATGAGAAGTCGCATTCCCACATTTCAAGGCGAGCATAAAAAGCTCCACTACTAGACGTCAGCTGAAATCATTCCAACTGTTGTGTCGGCGACTCACGAGCGCTGTAATACAGCTGGTACGCCTTTTCATATTCGCCCGCTGTGTCCGTTTCAATGGCTTTCTTGACCGTCTCGATAGCCCGGCCGAGGAAGTCGGCGTTACTCATGGCTCCAGATTTGAGTGTCGGGCGCTCTTGACGATCTCGTTTTGTGTTTACGTGTACGTGTAGTTGAGAAGCACTGGTTGGTACCTAGGCAGTCGGAGGAACGATTGAGTGGGGCAATCACGCGCTATTTGGCGTTGCTGAGAGGCAGAAGAGTCAAGTACGGGTGACTGACTGGTTGCGCAACACAAATCGGCAACTCCAAGGTATGCAATTGCGCAAGAAAACGTAGTCGAAACGGGCGTCGCAGTTGAGGGTCAACTCGTTGCTACGGTCTGGAAGGCACCTAAGCCCCGCGTTGCTTCTAACCGCATTGAGAAAGTTGGACATGCCGCTCGCCAGGGCCGAATAACCAGCCACGAACTTTGTGCAAAGCCTTACTCAGCATCACCAAAGCCATGGGAGACGTGCAAAAGAAGCTTCAGGCTTTGTCGGACAGCTACCAAGGCCTCCAAGCCGGTATGTCAAGTGTGAAACGTGAGAAAAGCGTGTTAATATCGAGATAGAACTCGGAACTGCGGTTGAGGCCCGCCAAAAGCTCGAGTCGCAGCAGCAAGAGAACACCACAGTCAAAAAGGTAGTAGAATGACAACTGAAGCGTGAGCAAACAGATGCTGAGACATGTTATTGCAGGAGTTTGACATTCTCGACGACGATGCCAACATATACAAGCAAATCGGTCCGGTGCTCTTGAAGCAGGACAAGACTGAGGCAGTCATGTCAGTCAACGGCCGCCTAGAATTCATTGAGAAGCAAATGTAAGCTGAAAACCGCGTCTGCTTTTGAGAGCATGTACTTACAGGGAGCAGCAAGGACATTGAAAAGCAAATCCAGGGCATACAGGAAAAGAGCGAGAAGATTAAAGGCGAGGTATGAGAGCTGCATGTACCTAATAAACACACTTTGAAGCATCCTAACCCAAAGTCTAGATTATCCAGATACAATCGGCGGCACAACAATCGCAGCAAGCAGCAGCAGCAGCATCATCATAAGATGAATACGAATGAGGACACTGTATCAATGAGATGCTCATTCATGTTGAGTTATGGACATTGTGAGTTGATGTGAAAAGAGTGAGAGCAAAATCATAATATAAATTCATACAAGAATAAAACGGTGCAGGCTCCAACAAGCGACCATTTTTGGCTTGATGAGATGCATAAAGACGGCTCCGGAATCATTCCTCGTGTTCCTTGGGGTGTTTGATGAGGCTGCCTACCCGCTAACATTTCGCCAATGAGAGATGCAGGGTCAAGGGAGCATGTTACAGAAGAAAATGTGGTTCGTATTGCTTGTGCTAGGCGCAAGGCATTGAAATAATTCCATTAAACCTATTGCTGTTCGCCAGTCATCAGCAAAAGGCGTTTGATCGAAACATTGAATTGAAGAGGCACAGTCAGGGCCGGGTGGAGTTCAGGTGCGGAGACTCGCATCCACAGGGCCGGGCAGACATGGCCACAGGCACAGGCATAGGAATAATTGGAGACACTTGCACCCGGAGATGCCCCAAGGCGCCATGCCATGTATGCACGCACATCGCCTTGTCTGTAACAGCTGCGCACCCAGGCTAGACGCCTCCAGGGCTGGAGCCGTTGCTTCAGCCCATGGTTGCAGGGTTCCTGATTGGCCGCATGCCAAGGGTACGAACGCCTTTTAGAGACCTGACCTGAGAGTTGTCCCCTTCTTCACCTCTGGCAGTGAGCATCGTCCGCCTCTCCACCTCCCTCTTCACCGACCGTTTCCCTTCTTTGTAGTTCGATATATTAACCCGACTCTCTTCTTACTGCGCTGCTTGCCCGACCCCGCACAGCGCCTTCCTGCACCCTGCTGCACCTATCCATCCATCAGCCCACTGCGAATCTGTCTCTCCCCTGACACTTCGCACCTCGAGCTCTCCTTTGAGGCACAGCTGGGACTGCAGGAGACAACTCGTGTGCAACAATTCGCCCTCAAGCACCTGGTAGCCACCCAAACTACACTGTAACTTTTGCCCTGGTCGACGTCTAGTGCGCCAAAGAATAGCAGTGCTGATTGACTGGCAGAATTACGAAGCTCGCATCACACAATCCCCTTCCCCTTGACCTTGACCTCGACCATCAACGTCAGCGCCGCCACCACCACCGCCGCCGCCGCCGCCATGTCTGCAAGCCATATAGCTGCAAACAGGAACAGCACGCCCGAGGGTTCCAGCTCGCTCCGCCCGCCCCAAACCCGCAGCTCCCTCGGCGCTGGCCATCATTTACGTGCCTCCACTGATCTCGGCGGCTTCCCCTCCCCGCTTGCCAACCGTGGCATTCGTCCCGCCTCGGAGATCTACTTTGGCCGCAACAACACGCAGTCGGGCAACCCGGACGAGATGGAACGTGCCGCTCAGCAGTGGCTGGCCGACATCGACCAGTACGAGACGACGCTCGAAGAAATGGCGACAGCCACGCTCGACCAGGACTTCAAGGACGAGTTGAGTGCCATCGAGCAGTGGTTTCGCGTGCTTAGCGAGGCCGAGAGGACGGCCGCGCTCTATGCTTTGCTCCAGCAGACGACCCAGGTGCAGATCAGGTTCTTCATCCAGGTTCTGCAGCAAATGTCCAAGAACGTGCCCATGTCTGGCGTGCTCTCCCCTGCCAACTTTGGGGAAAAGGGTTAGTCGGCTTGCTCCTTTTGGCAAATTTACTTGCTGACGCCTCGCAGATCCCATGACGCAGAAATTGACTGACGCTATGAGCAAGCTCAACACCGGCGAGAACCGCCACTCCATGGGTCTAGGCCGTCCGCCGCCGTCCCCCGGCGCCGGCAAGCGCAACTCTGGCTTGGAGTCGTCCACGATCAATCGCATGTTCCCGGATGCTGCCGCCGCCATCGCTAAGCAAAAGGCGGAGTTTACTGATGTGGTAGGCGTTGCGCCGGCGTCGAACCGCAATAGCACCGTGGGCGACCGCACTTCGCTGGCCGCCCCTACCATTAGTGCTCCCGAGGACAACAGCAAGAGGGACAACAATGCTCCGCCTGCATCGCCTTGGAACGAGGGCAACCGCCCCAAATCCTCTGGTCAGCAGCAACAGCAGCAACAGCACCAGCCAATGGGCCAATTCACTCAGCCTCCGCCTTCCGCCGGCCTCCGCTCTCCTCGCCTCCCCCTTCAGAATGAAAACAGCAACGTGCAAACCACTACGCTGAATGCACTCGAGGCAAACTCGGTCAATGTGCCGTTGCTTTCGCCTGCTTACGCCCCAGGTGGAAGCTGGGCTTCGCAGCTGAGCACTCCCATGGTCGGCAACTTCAACCAGTCGAACAACCAAGCTGATATGGTTGCCAATGCCACTGCCATGAAGCTGGCCGCCTTGTCTACTGTGAACAATCGCATCCAGTTGGATGACGTTCGCAAGTTCCGCCGCGCTCGTTCTTCGGACAATGGGCCCATGTCGCCAGGCATGCCTCAAATGGGCAATGGAAACATACTCATGACTAACGAAATGGGCCAAGTACTGACCCCACAGCAGGCTGCAGCTCTGCAGGCGCAGCAACTGGCTGCCATGAACGGCCGCCGGTCCCGTCCCAGCTCCCCCGGTTTCGCCATGCAGGCCCAAGGCATGGGTGCCATGGGTAACTTCACCTCGCCTCAGGCCAACGGTTTCCTAGCTGCAGACTACGGAGGCGGTATGATGAACAACGGAATGGGTGCATTAAACCTCGCCCAATTTGGCCTTGCTGGAGCTGGCACCAACGATGGACATGGCTTCCTCGGTGACAACATCGACCGCGGTCGATCCCCCCGAGGCCGTCGCGGCAGCTCAAAGCCTCCGGAGGACCCCACTGACCCTGGACTGCTTTCGGATATTCCCAACTGGCTTCGGAGTCTCCGCCTACACAAGTACACAGATAACTTGAAGGATCTCAAGTGGCAGGAGCTTATTGAGCTTGACGATGAAGGCTTGGAAAAGCGCGGAGTCAACGCACTTGGTGCACGCAGGAAGATGTTGAAGGTAAGAAACCACTCGTTCCAAAACACTATTGCATTTGACTAATATGCTTTGCAGGTTTTCGAGCAGGTCAAAGAAGCCCAAGATCACGGCAAGCTGCGATAGGCTCGTGGCTCGTTGCTTGTGTTGTCTCGACGTATGAAGGACTAGTCCGCCCCTGAACATAGATATACGATATAAAAGCGACAATCTCCAGCTGGCACGGACGTACATGATACGTCAGGTCTGGAACGCATATGATTACATGTTTTGTGCATTAGGACCTTATTTGGATTTTGCTTTCTTGGCCTGTCCGACACTGAGGGGTTTTACATTTCAACTATACTCTTGGATGTGTTTAGTGCGATTATTTCTAGGGTAGACCGGGTCAGAATGGGTAGGAGTAATAATGGCATTGTGTGTTCCACGCAAAATTATTTTGTGTTCTCTTCTCATTCATAAAAGTGATTGCATGCGTCCCCCGATTCAAACCCTTGTTGTGACTGCACTCGGTGCGGTCATTTGTGGAAAGCTCTTATACATATCTACAGAATTCAATTCCGCCGCTTGCTGAGCCGGCAAGCACTACGTCCGCGTCGAAAAATAAGCATACATCGGATGTCTTATAGCATGTGCTCGACTCTTTTCTTGTTTTTTAATCAACAGCCATGGTCTTTGCATTTCCAATGACTTCAGTCTTCTGCGATGCGTTATCGTGGTTTTCCGACAGTTGCTTATTGGCTCAAACAAAGCCTACAATTCGTCTCCATACCTCCGGTCCCTACACAGTACAAGAAGTCCAAGGTGTTATCAAACCTTTGCAAGAGACGGAACGGAGCAGGAAAATCAGATTTCACAGTATTGTAGCTAGTCTTATCGACCGAGCATACCGCCTCTATGGACGTGAAACTTGTAATTGAGATCAATGTACCACAGGATGAGATGACATGATATATCTCCAACCCCATTCGACATCTTGTTTGATATCATAGCCTTTATCGACTGGTGCATATCGACCATTGGTTCTGTTTATTCGGAGTTTCCGGGCTTGACAGGAGTGACAAATGTCTCGGCCAGCTTTGAGAGGGACGTCACACCAAACGGTATTTGTACCCTTCCATTCCTTATCAAAAGATGGGCCCTTCTAGGTTTTGAACAATAGCGAGACCATTTATTTAGAGACTCTGATAATTTAACGGTTTCTACTAGGGCAGTAATTATGTGGCTAGGATCATATGATATCATGAAGACATCTGTATGTGTAGACGGAAGGAGAGGCACATCCGGCGTGACACAGCTGCTCAACAAGGATCAATTATGATGTCACCCACGACGTAGCCACAGCATCCGTTGTTTGCTCAGACAGCGACTAATGTACTAATGACATTGGCTAAGCAATGCACGACTGCAAACTACTGCGAATCGGGGTTTTTTGGACTCTATGCATAGGGAGCCTGCCATCACTCACTGACGACGCAGCAGCACATATTGGTATCATGACTACGACTGAACCCCCATCTTTCGCTTGATTGTATCCCCCCAACTTCGAACATTGGCACACAGTAATCCGTTTAACCGTTATGTTATCAGTTACCCAGCAGCATATCTGCGCTAGAGATGCTACGTCATTCCGCAAAGAGCTAGCGTTGCACCTCAATTGGTCCCAGCCCCGCGGCGGATCTGCATGTCGTTCCAAAGTGGGTCATAGCTGAAGTTCCGATGTCCAAAGCCGACAAACTTATAAAGCACGAGGTTCGCCGTCTCGTGGCGAACGCACGGCACCGACAGTATGATGGCTCCTACATTTGGCTGGATGATGCTTTGAGAAGTTTTTTCATTCACGTTTTGCATTATTCTCCAACAACAAACTACGGAAAAAGTCGTCAACTTGCCGGCTTGACATCAGTCATCATCCATCATTTCAACTTCCACAGACACATAATAGCATTTTCACGGCGCTATGAGCGACATCGAGAAAAACTATGATTCGGCAGCGCCGAATGCTGCAAGGGAGAGCGACGAGATTGGGGGCCAGCTGGAAGGCGTGGATCTAGTCTTTGAGGCGAAGCTTGTACGCAAGCTTGATCTTTTCATCATTCCAGTAGTGATGCTGTTGTATCTCTTCAGCTTTCTCGACAGGTATGTTTGAATTTGTATACACCCGGGTGACATGAAATACTTGGCATACTAGTGTATAGACGCCATTGTATGCGCCAGACACTGCTTACCCGCAGTGTCAAGTATTTCATGTCACCTAGGTGGATATACTGCTGGAGTTTATGACTAAAGAAGCAACACTCTAACACAATCAGAGTGAACATTGGCAATGCGCGTCTATACGGCCTTCAGGAAGACCTCAACATGGGCGACTCGCAATTCCAAACAGCTGTTTCGATTCTTTTCGTAACATACATCTTATCTGAGCTCCCCTCGAATCTGGTCCTGAAGAAACTCACGCCCTCGCGATGGATATCTTTCATCACTGTAGCATGGGGCATCATCGCGACTTTGACTGGCGTAGCACAAAGCTACGGTGGGCTCATCGCATGCCGTCTGCTTCTAGGAGCCGTGGAAGGAGGACTGTTTCCTGGAATGGCCATCTATCTAACCTTCTTCTACACCAACCGCGAACTTGCCCTCCGCATCGGCTACCTCTTCGTCTCATCCGCACTCGCAGGCGCGTGTGGCGGTCTTCTTGCCTACGGAATCGGACACATGGACGGCACAGCTGGGATGCGAGGCTGGAGATGGATCATGATCATAGAGGGTATCCCAACGTTCATTCTCGGCATTGCAACGTGGTTCCTACTTCCCGATACCCCGGAAAGCGCCTACTTCTTCACCGCCGAAGAGAAGGCATTCGCAGCTGCTCGGCTTAAACGCCAAACTGGCTACACGGATAAAGCCGCTGAATTCCATTGGGATGATGTCAAGAAATGTTTCAAGGACTGGAAAGTATGGGTATTCTGCTTTGCGCAGTTTGGCTCCGATACCATGCTTTACGGTTACTCGACTTTTTTGCCTACCATTATTCGTTCCATCAATACTACGGCTAGCAGCGCTATGATACAGGTTCTCACAATTCCCTGCTACGCATTGGGCGCCATCACTTACCTTGTGGTTGCACGCTTCTCCGATAGGCAGCAGAAGCGCGGGCTTTACAGTGTCCTACTGGGTGTCGTTAGTATCGTAGGATATGCCATGCTCATTAGTCCGGCGAGTTCGGGTGTCCATTACGCTGGCTGCTTCCTTGTTGCCATGGGGTTATACGTTTGTGTCGGTTTGCCGCTCGCGTGGCTACCGACTAATCTCCCGAGATACGGCAAAAGGACTACCGCCACTGGACTGCAGCTCAGTATTGGAAACTGTGCTGGAATCATGAGCGCTTTTGTAAGTCTTTCTCCTTCCTCATTACCCCATGTCAACTACTTGACTTGCGCTAATTACGCGTAGATATATCCAACGCATGATCGACCCCGATTTATCAAAGGCCACGGCATCACAATGGCCATGGTGGGCTTTGCAATCGTTTGCTACACCATAATGTGGTTTCATTTAGGGAGCATCAACTCAAGTCGTGAAAAGGGAGAGGAAGAGAACAGGGTAGAGGGTATGAGTGAGGAGGCAATCGCGGAAATGGGAGATGATAGCCCAAGATTTAGATATACAATCTGAGTGGACACAGAAATACCAACGTAACGCTAGATACAAAAATAGATGCGTATCAGGTACACAAATTAGTATTACTAGATTCATCGGATCTTATTCTATAGCCTTGGGGATACAGAAAAGGTGACTTTCTTACTAGTCATGTTAGACGTATTCAACGAAATAGCTGTTATGATCCATGCCTCCAAAGACTCACGGGAACAGATTTGATTTTTCTTTGATATAGACTTACATCGGGAACAAGTTCTGGGTGATATAAACTACTTAATATACTTGTGTAAAAACGTCATTGTAAACGTCGGCCACGCTTATTAGGTGTTTTTGCACATTGATGAAATCGAGAAAGTAAAAACGCTGTCATTTTGTTGAATAAATCTGAACAAAGCAAAAAACAGTAAAGTGGGTATATAGCCAACACACAATTGCATGACACTTGGTTGCCCCGATAAGCCCTCCTCCTAACTTGTCACCAAATCCACCGTTCCGTCACCGTCCACACCTTATTATCAATCCTACCCTACTGAAATGCGCCTCGAATTTTCGCATAAAGCTCCGTGTCCAAGAAATTGTAGTTTGGATCCGAAAAGCAAAACGGTGCACGCAGCAACGTTTCAGCCGTCGGCCTTTCCATGGGATCAATGGTAAAACAATCGTACATGAAGCTTAAGCCCTCGACTCCAATTATCCTGCTTACATCTTCGGGAATCGGAGGAGCTTGGTTCAGACTGCCGAGCTTGTAAATGGCGCCAATGGCTTCTTCTTTAGACCAGGGACGCTTGCCCGCAAACATCTCTAGTACTACGCAACCGAGCGACCAAATGTCAACTTTCGCAGAGTAGCCTTGGCCTTGAGAGCGAATGACTTCAGGCGCCATCCAGAAGACGGAGCCTTGCATGCTGTTTGTGACGTCATTGCCGTAGATGTTGTCCGTCTTCTTTGAGATACCAAAATCCGAGATTTTGCATGTGCCATCAAGGTCGAGGAGAATGTTGTCAGCCTTCAAGTCCCGGTGCAGAATGCCTTCTCGGTGGAGATATGAGAGACCGAGCAGAGTTTGACGAGTCAGCGAGGAGACGACAGACTCTTCGAATTTGCCGTGCTTGCGGATACAAGATCCTACCGATCCACCAGAAATATACTCGAGGAAAATAGAAATGCTGTACTCCTTGCGTTCGCAACCAAGGTATTGCACGATATTTGGGTGATCTAAATGCTGCATCGTGTCGATTTCTTGGTCCAAACTCTTAACAAGCTCTTTGATTTTGTCCTTGTCAGAGCCGGCCGCTTTGGCGTTGACTTCTACTTGTTTGACAGCAATCAATTCACCTGTAGTGATGTTCATACCGAGATAAACGCGACCAAATGTGCCCTTGCCAATGAGTTGGCCCTTCATCCACTTAAATGTCGGTTGACGGGACGGTACGTTGGGTAAATGATCTTGAGGTATAGTTTCCATGACGAGACGGGAGCCACGTTGCGGTCGAACTTGCTCGGTTCTGGCGTTGAACATCTTCGTCGACTTCCTCCTGATAATATCCCCACCGTTTCTTAGTGTTGCAACGCGCGACGGACCAGCCCCAGCGGGTGCCTGTCCCGCAATAGACTTTTTGTCAAGTGGTTGGTACTGCGACTTGACCACTTCACGGATAGACTTCGTGCGGCCCAAGCCAACACCTGACTTGCGCATATTTCGCTGAGCAATTGATTGCAGTCCAGCACCACCACGGGTAAGCGACATAGGGGCAGGCTCAGCCGGTATGGGCTTGTTGTCAAAAGCTGGATCTGTAGAGGCATCTCCGTCTTCGTCTTCAAGCATCGGCTGATCAAGGTTGACGTGTGGGAACAGCTCGTCAAGATGTTCGACGAGGGCTTCGGCGGGCGGGCGGTTTGCCCAGACATCGCTAGCAAACGACTCACGGCGGGAGAATTTGTTCGTATCGTCTGGAGAATCGGTCCAAGTTGCAGATGCGGCCGATTCGGGGTGCATATCGTTTGGCTGAGGTTCGCGGTCACCGGCTGCACTGTGCTCAGAAGTTTGTTCAGTAACTTGAGCTAGCGAAATTTTAGACCGCTGTGTCTTGAGCGTGAGATTCGGCCGTTGGGCACGTGAAGTATTTCGAGCGAGCGGTATGTTCTTTGCGGGCGTAGGCGGGCCAATTCGTCCCGCGAGAGGTGCAGCAAATAGACCATCATCGGAGTCGTCATCACCAGAATCCATGGGCTCAAGGTTCGGTGATTTGGTGATGAAAGAGACTCGCGCTTCCTCGAAGTCGTGCGTTGGACCGTAAATCGACACTCGCGATGGCTCCCTGCTCAAAGTGGATTCTTGGGGCCGCGCTGAGTGAGGTGATTGGGGTCGCTCTTGGGATAAGGGTGGATCGGACAAAACAGGGGTGAGGTCCAGCCTCTCTTGTGCTGCATGATCGCCGAAAGCTTCCTCATAGTCAGGTATTCTGAAAGGTATATTGCCTTTGCTCATGGTGAGCTCGCCGGGACTGCGGGGGGACCCACCTGGACTATTGCGGCCAGAACCAGACCTAGCTGCAAAATGATTGTCGTGTAGCACTTGTTGCGATGGTCGAAGACTTTCTGGAGAATCACCATCCTTTGGCGGAGGTTGTGGCGCCTTTGGAGGCGCTCTGTTCGCTGCCCCGATTCCGGCTCCAAGGTTCCCAGCACCAATTATTGCAGCGGCAATACCTCCCAAGCCACTTGCACCCTGGGGTATAGCTTTGCGCTTCTCGGAATGATCCGTTGATTCCTGCTTAGCCTCGCCATCATCACTTTCAGGCCACGAACCCCGGTTCTTGCTCCTTGATAACGAATTAGCCTTTAATAGGGTACTGGTATCGGCTGGCACAGGAGGTGGCTCTCTCAATGGTACAAGCTGCTTGTTCTTGCGTTCGTCGAAAGACTTGTTCAGGTCCTCGTAGGGAGAAGCGCGTGGCTCGTCAAAATCGATTATACGCTGACTCCTGTAGCTGATGGTGTCACTCGTAGCGGAGTTGGGGTCTGGACTGTGCGCCGTGAGCTTGCCGAAGCGTGTCCTGAGATATTCATCCTGCTTGCGCTTGGTTTCCTTTCGGTGCTCCTCTGCAGCAGCTTCGAGCAGCTTCCGACGTTCCTCCTCGGCCATGTCATCGCGTTGCTCCGGCAATGGCTCCGGGTTTCTTCCATCAATCGCACTTCTTGGAGTGGTCTCGTTCTTCTCTGCCATCTTTCTCAGGGCGGCACTCTTATCCGCGACTAGTGTTGACTCGCCCGACTTTCCACCGGGAGAATCTAGTTGTGTGTCGGCGTTCAAATGAGAGTATGCATCATCCTCCATAGTTCTGGCAGATACTAGGGGAAGTGATACACCCAGTCCCGCAGAAGGTTGGACATTCGTGCCCTCTTGGGGTATCTTGACAAAGATTTTCAGTTCGCCGACTCGGTTGCCGTATTGTGACCGAGCCTTTAGAAGCTTGGAATCGGATAGGGGGCGGTTGTGTTCATACTGTCCAGGAAGTGTGAGATGCAGCTCTACACCGGGTATTCGACTTAAGCCTTGGCTAAGCTCCTCACAGCATACTGTTCGCAACGATGCGGCAGAGTCTACGTTGGTAATGTCAACAAGTCGATAATTCCAACCATCCGGCGTGACAAAAGCAAATTTGCGGTCATCCTTGCCAGAGTTGCGGCCGCGCCCTGCCGCTTTATTTTCAGAATCTGTCTGAGCCGAGCGCCGCGACGGAGGCCGATCGTTCAATGACGTTTCACTGGAGTTCATTCCAGACTTTCCAAACAAGGATCCGCTGGGGTGGGTGCGATGGCTGGCCGGGCTGGTGGGGGAATCCAAGCTGGTGTCGTCAGGAGATGGGTGGCTGTCCTTCTTTCGCCCTCCCATGATCTTCTTGAAAAAACCCTTGTCATGATCCTTGGCACTGGTAGGTACTTCCATGCCATCGTAACGTGACAGACCGGTGCCAGGTCGCGAGCCTTCATAGCCGTTTCTCTTGTTTTCATTACGACTTTCTGATCGACCATCAAACGATCGGCCTGAAGGTGGACCAGAGCCAGTGTTTGCAAAAGTAGAATTGATCGACTCTGTACTGTTGACACGGTTATGGGGTGAGTAGTAACGAGAACCCCCTGTGGACAAACCCGCGCTGAGTTGACCGCCGTTGGTAGCAAGCCGTGCTGATGGCAGGCCCGGACTGTGCTGCGGACTGGCCTGGAGATAGTTTGTAGCAGCACCTAACGAAGAGGGTGCGAATTCGGTGGACGTATTGGGACTATGGCGTACAGACTTTGGATCGAGACCTTGTAGGACTTCCCTGGAGTAGGGACTGCGCGCGGGCCCTTCCGAGAAATCTGGGGTGGTGCCGAGGCCAGGGGCAGTGAAATTGCGATGTTGTGTAGAGATGCGCCTGGGTGGGATTGCACCGCTCACAGGCGAGTGTAGGAGTATCTGACGACCAGGACTTTCTTCCCCGTTGCCGGCCGTGGTTGGGGTGGAGCCAAAGTCCATGCCACGAGAGCCTATGTATGGTGAGTTTTCGACAGTGCCCTCTGTACCGGCGCTGGTCATGCCCGTATCGGATCGTTGGGGTGGTGCTCGAGGGTTGCTGGCGGCGCCTGTCTCCACAATGGAGCGCACAAGCCTACGAAGCTTGCGACCTTCGTCCCGTTCCCTGTTCTGGTCCCAACCCGTCCCGCTGGCAGTGCATTGCTTGGCCAGCTGAGGGAAAATGACCTGGTGCATCATGGCAACGTTGCCCTTGCTGCCGTGACCACGCCCAATGTCGAGGAATTTGGAGCCTTCCAGCCCGAGTGTCCTGAATGTCTCCTGCCAGTCGCGTGAAAAGTTGTTGCTCGCTAGCCAGTGTTGGACGCGTTCGGCGGGCCACTGCATGGCAGGGTCGTGGGGGGAAATGGGCGTGGTGCCGTTGCTTTCGGCGCGGTGGTAGACGCTGCCGTGGCTCTGGACCATGGGGTTTTGTAGTGTAGCCGTGGGTGGTCCGGGCGAGTCATAGACGTGAGCTCGGTCCGTGGGTATGTTGAGGTGGCCGCGGTTGCTGGGCGTCTGGGGGGCGTTGAAGCCGCCATTGTTGGACCCGTACTGCACACTTTGAACGCTCTCGAGTAGGCTACTAGAGAAGCCTTGTGCCGGGGTATCCGTGTTGGCTGAATAGCTGTCGTCACGGTAGTAGGGCTCCGGGTAGCCTCTGGAAGTGTGGAGGGGAGGTATACCTACGCCAGGTCCAAATGACTCGCCGCCAGGTATGTATGTAGCCGACGTCAGAGGCGGCTCGCGCTCATGCTGCACTTGCTGGGGAGGCGGCGGCGGCCCTGGCGGCGGGGGGAGGTTTGGGGGGTAGATGCGATACTGGCCAGGGTCGTAGATTGTTTGTTGGGGCTGTTGGTATATCGAGCGTGGAGGGCCCCAGTTGTTAGTATGCGGGGGCGGTGGGATGGGCATGCCATAGCCCGTCTGTCGCGGCGGTGGTGGAGGGAGGGCCATATGAGCCGCTGGAGTGCTCGAGGGCTGAGGCGGCGGCGGAGGGATGTACTGATGCATAACTGCTCTAGGCCCTGAGGGTACGGATACTGCCGTCGAGTAAGCAGATCAGCGACGATGTGCGAAGACGGCAGCGACGACGGCGGCGGAAGTGGAAGCGGCAACGACGAGGGTGGGGGTTTTGGGCAGCAAGCTGCTGCTGCGTCCACTGCGACCAAGAAAAAGATGAAGGCGCCTCAGGATGGGGGTTTACAGGAAGGCGCGGTCGCATCACGACATGACGCTACAGTCGTATTGACGTCGTCCAGGGCCTGGCCTACCAGACGTGTCGGTCGTGAGTTCCAGTCCCAGTCAGTTCCAGATGCAGGTTCAGTCCTTAGTCACTACTGTTTGGTGTCTGCGAGTCTGCGAGTCTGCGAATCTGCGAATCTGCAAGGTACGGTATGTCGTCGCTGGCAGTCGCACACGTGGGTCCCAATGCTAGGCGACAGGTGCAACACGGGAGACGAATCGCGCATCCGTTGCGACAAACGAGGGGACGAAGCGCACAATGGCCGACTGACAGCTGTTTCGGGGCGCCGTAGTCGCTATATCGTTAGTCGTCAGCCGAGGAGAAACGCGGGCGCCTGCGCTTGTATGTGCCTGTGTGAACGGCTGGGCGTGGTGTCAACTGCCTGTAACCTAGCTATAACCTAGTTATGGCGACCGCTGCCGGCTCCGGCAGACACGCGACAATAAAGATACCCCAATCTTGGCACCGCAATTACGACTACCGAAGACGGACGAGGGGCATTAACAGTAATAACCACCGCCGCCGCCGTCCAGCGCTGCCTGACACTGAGCTTGCTGTCGCGAAGGCGCCGTCTGCGCACAGACGTCGAGTGAAGCGTGCCTGATGATTTGCTGCAGACCCCCCAGCCGCGCTGTTGGCAATGCCTCGCCCTGTCAGTCGTCGCACCCTTCGCCCGCTCAATGCGCACTCCTGGTCGATTGCGTAGCCACCAGGGAGCTGGCGTCTCAACCCGCTACCACGTTTCAACCCAATGAACGCACGTGAGGGATAATGGCCGAACATTATGCATCTTGTCCCTGCACACCTGTCGTAGTCATATCTATTTAGTAGCTCTACCGACCACCATTTACCACTAGTCAACTACAAGACCTAGTCAGGTACCGACCCGAGACCGCGACACACGTGCTAGCTACTACTGTCATGTCATCCTAACGACGTGTCCAACAGTAATGCCAGATGTATTTTGGGTGCTACTCACACCGTATATCACGTGTAAAGGATTACACAAGGAAATAGATCGAGCTTGTCACTCTACTCCCATGAACAACAGGCTACTCAACATTAGTCCACAGCATGTTGAAAAAGGTAATGCGTTGTGGAGGCGAAATGGCCTCATAGCCCACTCATCTGCCCATGCTCCCACGCTCGTGCATCAAGTCACCATCAGTAATACTAGATGCAGATTATTTTTTCGTTGCAACTACAGTGGATTGGGTAGATCGGGTCGTGACTGATAGTCACGCCACCTGAGCTGATAAGCAGGGTGCATGAAGCCTTCCCGTCGCGTTACTATGGCGCATCACCATACAAACGCATACCTAACACTCGCACGAGCGAGAGAAGCGTCGGCCGGTAAAGACCGGGCATGATATCATCCTCGCGACTTCCTGGACCCTTAAAAGGTAGCTGCCGCTGCGCCCAACAAATCCAGCAACCTCGACGCAAAACATTCAAAGTCAAACACAACACTTTCCAACTGCCAGAACTTGACTGCATTACATCAGAAACTTGGCATCATGGCGTCGGATCTACGCTCCCAGGAGATCAAGAACCCAATTGACGTGGCAGAGGTGAGTACGCAATGCCCATGAAAGCGCGCTAGCTAATGACGAAACAGTACCTCTTCCGACGACTGCAACAGGTCGGCGTCGACTCCATCCACGGTGTACCGGGAGACTACAATCTCGTGGCCCTCGACTACATACCCAAAGTGGGCCTGAAATGGGTTGGTAACTGCAATGAGCTGAATGCTGGTACGTGAAGAGATCAGCGCAATCGGGCGGCTAACTACGGGAGGGACCGAAGCGACCGAATGCGAAGTTGATCCCGTGTCTTCTGCTACACCTGCTAACGTCGTCTATAGGTTACGCAGCCGATGGCTACGCTCGTATCAAGGGCATTGCTGCTCTCGTAACAACATTCGGTGTCGGAGAACTGTCGGCAGTCAACGCCATTGCAGGCGCTTACTCCGAATACGTGCCCATTGTCCACATCGTAGGCTATCCCTCGACTATTTCTCAGAAGAATGGTGCGCTGCTACATCACACTCTCGGAAATGGCGACTTTACCGTATTCTCTCGCATGTCCAAAGAGATCTCGTGTGCCGTTTCAATGTTGAACAGTCAACACGAGGCTGCCATGTTGATTGACAACGCCATTCGAGAATGCTATCTCCAATCACGACCAGTCTACATTTCCTTGCCCTCGGACATGGTAACTAAAAAGGTTGATGGCGACCGGCTGAAGACACCACTCGATTTGAAATACCCATCAAACAACCCAGAAGCTGAAGACTACGTTGTCGATGTGGTTCTCAAGTCTCTACATGCGGCCAAGAACCCTGTCATTCTTGTAGATGCATGCGCTATCCGTCACCGAGCGCTTGAAGAGACGCATGAGCTTGTCAAGAAGTCGGGCATTCCGACGTTTGTTGCACCAATGGGCAAGGGTGCCGTGAACGAGACGCTACCCAACTACGGAGGTGTTTATGCTGGAGATGGATCTAACGCTGGTGTGCGTGAACGAGTAGAATCTTCTGATCTCGTTCTCAGCATTGGCGCCATCAAGTCGGACTTCAACACGGCTGGCTTCACAATCCGCATGTCACAGCTGACCACTATCGATCTGCACAGCTTCGGATGCAAGGTTCGATACTCTGAATACCCCGGGGTGCGCATGAACGGCGTGCTCGCAAAAGTAACAGCTAAGCTTGGAGACCTCAACATCGAATCAGGTCCCAATCCCAACAACAACGTGCCAGAACACGAGTCGTCATCCACTGAGTCCGCCATCAAACACGCCTGGTTCTGGCCTAAGCTTGGCCAGTGGCTGAAGAAGGATGACATTCTCATCACTGAGACGGGTACCTCCAATTTTGGCGTATGGGAGACACGCTTCCCTGAGGGTGTCAGGGCCATCTCGCAAGTCCTCTGGGGCTCCATCGGCTACGCAACAGGAGCATGCCAGGGAGCAGCTCTTGCTGCCAAAGAATCAAACGTCAAGCGCACCATCCTCTTCACAGGCGATGGCTCCTTCCAGCTCACGGCTCAAGAAGTGTCGACCATGATTCGCAACAAGCTCGCGCCGATTATTTTTGTCATTTGCAACAAGGGCTATACTATCGAGCGCCTGATTCACGGCTGGGAAGATCCTTACAACGATGTCCAAGAATGGAAGTACAAGGATATCCCGGCAGTGTTTGGTGCCGAAGAGGGCAGTGTATTGACATACAGGGTCGAAACCAAGGACGATGTTGAGAAGTTGTTCAAGGACGAAGAGTTTTCCAGTGGAGAGACGAAGAAGATGCGCTTTGTGGAATTGGTTATGCCATGGGATGACGCGCCAGCTGCTCTCAAGGCGGTTTGCGAGGCAGCGGCAAGGACCAATGCGACTACTGCCGAATAGGTAGAGCGAGGCTGAAGGGTAATACGAGGTAGTGGATCAAAAGTGGCGTGGTGTGTACAAGACGATGAGCACGATGTAGTTTCTTTCACGATGATATGACAATGACGACTCTCTTCTCACACTTTGATTACTTCTATATTTTGGAAGTTGCCTCCCGAAGCTTTTGATCCCACTAAACCTGACCAATGTATAACATTTCGGTGTTGTATTCATATCTCATGCTATCCCATACCCGTCGTCTCAATTGCTCATGTATGCTTCCATTTACAAGGCCACGGCAAAAACCCCAGCCAACAACGCAGTCGTTACTCCGGCCCATAATGCCCTGCCATCAACCGTCAACATACCCGCCGCACCCCCCGTTGACGGTCCGCCAGACTCTGTGCTACTGCCTCCCGTCGGACTCGGTCTGGAAGGCGGGAAAGCTGAAGCCGTAGGCGTGCCAGTCGTATTCTGCACCGTGATCCAGTTCCCCGCCAACGGCTTCGTAAGGTTGGTATCCATTGTAAACTGGCTCACATTGAAGGGCACCCTATTCATAGCCAAAGTGGAATACTGCTCAGGCATGCTGAAATTGCGCGGCTGCTGCATGAGCACAAACGTGTACGCGTGTGGAATATCGCCAACGGGTGGCGAGGGCTGCAGGTAAGGAACAGGGTTCGTATCTGGGATTTGCAGCGCTGCGCCCGACGTGTTTGCTGATAGCGGAGAGGAGCGTGTAATGTTCATTGCGAACCAGTGGATTAATTGGACGCGGCTGCCGTTACGGGGAACATCGAGGTCGACCATGAGGAGGATGCAGGAGCCTGGGCCCTTTTCGTCGGACCACCATACTGGCGAGCTAATGGTTGGGCGTTGGGCGGTTTCTGTCGCGAGACGTCATGTCAGTTTGGGTAGCGCAAGTGTGTGTTTGGGATGAAAGCAAACAAACGTACCGGGACGCAGAATCAACTCTCCTCCAGGTGAGACGGTGTTGTTGCCGTATATCACGGTGAGGTTTTGGGATGTCGTAATGGGGAAGCCGGGTCCGGTTTCCGCCCGAGCAACGCCGGCAAGCAGAGCCGCAGCTGCAGTGCTTAGAATGGTTTTGCTGAACATGATTGTATTGATTATTTCGATTAAGGTTGAGTATTAGGATCCAAGTAGGCTTCGATTTGAAAAGTGCTCGAAAAGAAGACGGCAATGGACGGTGTCTTTTAATCGTGGACGGTGCGCTTTGTCTCCAGGGTGCCCTATGGCATACGTCGGCTTCATTCCGTATTGCCGAGTCCAGCCCTTCTTTCATGACGTCTAACCAAGACGCTTTGTCCCCTCGGGCCAAATATACGGACTTTAGCAAGGTGCGCCATTCGCTGTGGTGTGCGGCGTCAGGGACAGGCTTTCATGGTACCAAATGTATTTTGGTCGTCTATCAGGCCACGCTTGATCTGTGTCGGACAGTCGCGCCCCCCCCCCCCCCGGGTGTCGCAATCACAATCGCGGACACGTGCTGATATGACTGATGACGCTACCACTCCATTGAGTATGCTTTGCCTGTCCAAACGGGCTTGCATTAATCTACCTTCCAGTTCTATCTTTTTGAAGGCTTATTTCCCATACGTACTAGGAAATACTCCTCATAACCAGCCCTAGGACCTAGTAATCATGTGGTCGCGCGCAGGCCCGACACCAATCCATTTGACTTTGACGCCGACAAACTTCTCAATGTATTCAATGTAACTCCTCGCTTGGCTCGCCAAGTCGTAGTAATTTGTTACCCCCGTTGTTGGCTTCTTCCAACCTGGCAGCGTATCATACTGTACCTCGACTTGCGCAAGTATTTCGGGATTCGCGGGGAAGCCTTCAAGTGTTTCGCCATTGTAGGAGTACGATGTCGCTACCTTGAGCTCGTCAAAGTCGTCCAAAATATCGAGCTTGGTTAAATTGATAGCTGTGTAGTCGTTGCACGCGTGTGAGTGCTTGACTACGACTAAGTCGAGCCAGCCACAGCGGCGCTTGCGGCCGGTTGTTACACCGACCTCGTGGCCTACTGATTGCATCTTTTCGCCTATTTCGTTGAGTTGCTCAGTGGGAAAGGGTCCACTATTGAACGTTAGCTTGCACTCGCAGCGATGACTGAGCTATGATACTTACGATCCGACACGAGTCGTGTAGGCCTTTACTACTCCAATGACTTCCCTCAGTGACCGCCATCCCAAGTTGAGACCTGTAATGACACCTCCCAGACCTGTATTTGACGATGTAACGAAAGGATAAGTTCCGTAATCGATGTCTAGCATTAACGCATTTGCGCCTTCTACCAGGATCTTGGCATTCTTCTCCTTTGCCGATGCTAGGAGCGGGATTTGATCGACCACGTAGGGAGCGAGTTTGCCGCGAAGGTCCTGGACGAAATTTTAGCCATTCGCGCATCTTTCCAAGCAAGTGATAAACTGACCTTGTACCTGGCAATTTCATCATCCACGTCGTACTTGAGCAAATCACCAAATCGCTTCTGGTATCCCATGGCTATCCTCCTGAGCTTCGCCTCAAAAATCTTCTCGTCGAACAAGTCGCACATGCGCAGGCCGCTTCTAGTCATCTTGGTGCTGTATGTTGGGCCGATGCCCTTGCCGGTTGTACCTGCTCTGTCAGTACTGCCCAACTTCTGCAAAAGCGTGTATAACCCTACCAATGAAGCCACCAGCAAGTTCCACCTCTTCTAGGCCATCCACCATTTGGTGCACATCAAACACGACGTGTGCGCGATCCGAAATGAATATCCTGCCGTCCGTCTTCAACCCATGCTTTTCTAGCGCCTCGAGTTCCTTGAAGAAACTCGGCACATGTACCACACAGCCACTTCCAATGACATTGATGCAGCCTGGGTTCACCAAACCACTCGGGAGAATATGAAAATCGTACGTGACACCGTTTGCGACGATGGTGTGTCCGGCGTTGTTACCACCCTGAGCGCGGCAGCAGATTTGCGATTCGTGCGCGAGAATGTCGGCGAGCTTGCCCTTACCTTCGTCGCCCCATTGGGCGCCGAGGACGACGGTGACGGACATCGTGAGAACGAGGGACAAAAGGGAGGGAAACGATGGGGCAGCGGGTGGGTTTTCAATTGCCCATGGAGAAGCGGACTTGGCCGAGTTAGTCACAAAATCCCTAAAAAAAATTGCGCAATCGCAACTCCCCAGGCACCGCCATGGCACGCCTTGTATTTGCCAAACACTGTCGAATTGAGTCTATTCAAATCTAAGAAGCTTTCAATGTGCAACTCCAGCCACTTTCAAGACTCAATTGCTCTCTGTAAACCTTGGTCGCTGGACTTGATTCACCGCAGACCGGCTTCATGCCCCACCATGCCCCGCCATGGACGATGCGATGCCGCAATCTTCCGCACGAGCCAATGACGCATGCACCTGAGCCTCAACTCGGAATCCCGAGGAGCTGTAGCTAGGTGTCATAAAATACTTGACACCGTGGGTGAGCACCTAATAAACATGTCTGGCGCCTACAGTGGCATTTGTATGCTAGTATTTCAAATATTTCATGTCACCCTAGTGGCCGTATACAGCTACAACTTATCATACAAAACACGTAGAGCACGTATAATCGAGATTTTCACAATGTTGAAGAAAGCAAGAGAGCGCAGATATTACAAATGTGGGCATATCCCAAAGCGAAAGTTGATTTCACTCAATATGCGAGTCATGACGATATATATGACATCGAGACGTCGTCTTGCACCCTAACATCCATATCTAGTGCATGTACCGGAACTCAGGATGTCGGTATCCGAGATCCTTGATTTGAGCTGCCGTTTTACCGGCAAGACGATGGTCTCGCTTGCCCAAGTCACGCTGCTTGTTTTCCCATTTGCAGTAGGCAATGCCAAACAAAGCGAGAATGAGAACACAAATTTGGCCGCACAAATTAATCGTGTGTCCGGTCGGGTACTTGGGCGCGTCGGTCGAAGTATATGTCCTACAGCACGTTAGTTGGCAAACTCTTGAATGCATGTCCACGAATTATACGTACCAAGTAGCGAGGATACCACCAGCGGTACCAAGAGTAACGACATACGCAGTCGAGACGGAGCGAATCGCAGGTCCTGCTGCATTGTTCGCAGACCATGCAAGAAAGCCAGGGCCCCCAGGAAAGGCACCGATAGTGATCAAAAAGATACCTCCGTACTTGACGTTGGGGTCCGTTGCCCATCGCATAATCGAAAATCCTGCGATCGCAGGAAGAGTGAAGATGGCAAGGTAAAGACCACGACGATTGGTCTTGTCCGAAATAAAGGCAACCGCGATAGCAATGACGCACGCGCAAACGTAGGGTGGCACCGAGTAGAGCTGCGATTTGGTGGCTGTCCAACCGAGATCTTTGAGAATAGTAGGCTAGCGACGTTAGCAAGGAAACCGTCTTGATAGCAATGCCAGCTTACCATGAATAGAGAGATTCCCTGTACAGTGATGTTGATGAAAAAGAAGCCCAGAGCACAAAAGTAATTGGTGATGTTAAGCATGGCCCTCTTGACGTGGTGCACCTCAGTTTTCTCGTTCTCGTCGGCTCCACCTCTGAGAACAAGTCGTTGTGTAGCAATCATTCGCTCGCGTTCCGTCAAAAACCAGCATTCTTCTGGACTGCTGGGCATGAGGAAGGGCGCGCCGAGGCCTATCAATATGGTGAGAAGCCCCTCGAAGAAAAAGATGTTACGCCAGGTGTGAATAATCATAGTCGATGCTCCCCACGGGGGAATACGCGCAAGTCTAGATCCAAATTAGGCGTGTACAAGACTCATTGTCGTCGGCGAACTTACACAGTAGCGAGTAGGCCACCAAAAGCCCCAGCCAAGGACGCGGCTGAAACATAGATACCAATGCGAAACAAGAGCTCGTTGCGTTTGTAGAAGCAAGTGATGAAGAATGCAAGGCCACTGCATAGTAATTGTAAGCGAGTGTTGAGGGGTGGAGCAAAAAGTACTTACGGCATAACACCACCTTCAAATACACCGAGACAAGCTCGTGCGGCCAGTAACCCTCCAAAGCTTTGCACAAAAGCGCTGCAAAGCGACACAAAGCCAAATCCACATACCAGCAGCGGCAAGTAGTATTTTGGGCCGAGCTTCTTGAGAAGAATATTGCTAGGCACCTCGACGAACATGTAAACAATGTAAAAGATCGACGTGACCCAGTTGAATCGAACTCCTCTGTTGAGATCTAGGTCTTTAGCCATACCTTGGATACGTGCATTTCCAACGTTTACCCTGTATATTGTTAATCAATGGTTATATAACCTAACACGGTCGTCCTACCGATCCAAGAAACACATCAAGTAGAGAAGTGTCGTAAGCGGTACTATGACGCGGTCCAGTTTGCGTCGGACCCTAATTTCTTCTTCTTCTGTCCAAGTGAAATCGACGTCTGTCGATCGATCGCTTCCATTTGCCTCATCATCTATAGAGATCTCATTAGTTGTCAGTGTGCAGAAGGACTAGGAACTAACATACAGATGACTTCCCCCTTCTCTAGCGAAGCAGGGGAGCGGTCTTGGCCAGCACCAATGGCTGTTACACCAAATTGTGTCATGTTGTTCAGAACAAGATACGACGTCGAGACGCAAAGAAGCGGCACAGGAATTTTCTTCGTTGTCTTGTGGCCCCACACACTCAAGTCTGGGGAAATGTTCCTGGAGTCTGGGGAAACGGATCTGGGGAACAACACAGCCCATATAAGAAGAACCAACTGCAACGGATCCCGATGAGCCAAGTCGTTACAACGGCGCGGGACGTAGGAAAGAAGAAATCGGCAGTTGCTTCAGTGGAGGAAGTCCGGCCATGTTTAGCCACCGTTCCCCTATCCCGGTAAAGTAACCGGCTTGGTGCCACAGGGACTACTCTTCATTGCGCATTACTGTACTGTATCGCCCCGATATAACAACGCTACGGCGTTGCCACTTACAAGCTCGCATGCTTGGCGTGTTGCGGGGGTCATTCTTGGCTGGCATGGGTTGACTCGTGAAGTAGGTATGCAAGGCTCGCTCGCGTCGCGAGCAGGCTCCTTTGTGGTCACGTCTAAACGCCATGCTTGGCAGAGCGGGACAGGTCTTCGGCAGATAATGTGATGAGTCTCTCAAACATGATCCGCCAAAGTCGTTCAGTCACCAAGTTGCTTGCTTTCGCACCTCATCTATAACGGGGCAACTACGGAGGGATAACGGGCGTAGTCTCCAAAAGGACTTTGATCACACGCTTTTTCTCGAACCAACTGCAAGCGAAATGACATCCTACGGGCAACGCTCAGATCTGCGACCATATCTGGATCTGGAGGAAGCTGTACCTTGTAGAGTAACTGTGACCGACCAGTTGCCCATTGCTGATCCAAGGGTCGGCTTTAGCGCATGCGGGTAACAGGCCATCCCCAGTGCGTCAGCACCAGAATCCGCTCGCTGATCAAGAATTTCGTACATGTTTCCGCGGATAGAATGGTAGCCTATAGTAGTTAAGCAACGCAACGCATGATAGAGCTTCTCCCACACTCGGTGCGGAATTGTGTTTGGGATTGGCTCGACCTGGCTCCGGTTGCGTCTGGACCAGTATTACCTGCTTGAGGCGCATGATGGCTGTGATGAGAAGTTTTCGAGCTGCATGAGTGGGAACAGGTTGTGGGGAATTCTTGGCAGCAATGTTGCCACAAATTTTATGGAGAATGCGAAAGGTGAAGTGAGGACAAGGCTGCCGCACTGGAACAAAAAGCAGCTGCCAAGCTGTCATCGCCAGACTAGGAAGGATTGAGACGGAACTATAACGCAACCAACAACACTACCTACGAATGCATCCACCTAGGTAACATAAAATACGTGACAAATACGTGACACTTTACTAGTACATGAAAGCTACTGTAGGCGCCAGACACGCATATTAGGAAAGGTATGGCGGGGTCTTACCTCCACTGTCGCTGTCGCCTATGTACTGTAGGTGCATCAGTGATTCTGGTTATCTGCATAACGACTTCCACTTGAAGCGTTTCCACAACTTGCTCCACTGCTGCACATTTCATCATCTCAACAATGTCCATTTCACGCGTAGTTTGCGAAAACCCTTGTACAAATACCCAACACATTCGCCGATAAGGGTGATTCGCTGTTCACCGTAGCGCGGCCTCCGTCGCCTCACAGATGCATCCAAAAGAGCTCCTACAGTCTCTTCAAGTGCATACAGTCCCGGTGTATGATGAGCAACATGAAATACCATAGCCGAGATTGATCTCCTGCTCCGTCACGTCCGGGACAGTAGTGTCTCTGCATAAGTACCGGTAGGTACATATGTGTCTACCTCGTATGTCCCATTATCCTCGGTCGCGGCTATCTGGTCCCATGACTCTACCTGGTATTCGGGTTCCGGTGCTAGTTAATGCACATGCGTAGCTCCCGGCTCCTATACTTCCAGCTTCTGTATCGTTCATCTTCTCTCGACCAAGATTCCCTGTCGCCACGTTCAGTGCCAAGCGCTCCAGGTACCGCCCAGAGATGCACAGCCGCTTCCTCGGGCTCACCAGCTAACCATAGCATGTATATATGTGATTTTTAATTCTGTTTATATTGCTCATCGATAGTGTCCTTGTAATGAGAACTGCCTCTGGCATTGCGGAGGGTTCTTCGGCCTTTTCGTCGTCGCTAGCTTATTTGTGGGTAGCGCGGCTTGTACCGTGTTTGTATGCATATGAATCTCGAGAAGGAGCTGGGTGATGTGTTAGGATGCGGATATGTGGACTGTGGAATCAGCAAGGTCTTTGCTAATGAGCGTCTAACCGGCAGTCAGTGAAAAAGCTCTTGCTTTGCATCAGTTTGTCACTTAAATCGCGGGCTGAGCTGCGCGCACAAATTCAGCGGCTACGATATTCCAGGTGGAAATGTGCTCTTTCGGATACCATGTCCGTCCTATTCCAACTTCCTTACCATCGATGCCCACGGCAAAGGTTGAGGTTGAGGTTGCCCGCAACTAGCTGCTCTATGCCTTGTCTGCAAATACTGTGATCCTGCTTCTGACCGCCTTTCTCACCAAAGCAATATATCCCAGTCAAGGGTATCCCGAGTTATATATTTCCCCAAAGCCACGGTTGATACGTGATAACGTGGGTAAGCACCTAATAAGCGTGTTTGGCGCCCATAGTGACCTTTTTACACTACTATGTCAAGCATTTCATGTCAACGCGGTGGTGGTGTAACGATCGGGGGGTTCGTGACGCGTTTGAGGAGGCGGGTATACGAGGGTTTTCTGAACAACGTCAAGAGCATTGGAGAGTACACTGACCAAGTATCACCGAGGCCAAAGAAGCTGACAGCCATAGTTCGTAGTGCTACCGAGGCAAACATGGAGACTAGGGAGACATGTCGTGATGATGTTTGAGTAGGAGGAAGTGAGCTGCGGAGCGCTTAGTGCCGGCAAGCATTGATGTCCGTAGTTCCGACCGACGTTCCGATGAAGCCCACCATTCACTCTCGCCACATCCTACTATCAAGCCTATCCCTGGAACCCACAGTTTAATACGACACAGAGTGCGGCAAAATGTCCAGAATCGAAGGTGCCCCAGCTCATGGTGCGGTAGCACATCTCCTACCCGAGACATACAAGAGATACGTTTCGGAATGGCTTGAAGAGGACACCCCGAGCTTCGACTATGGCGGCTTCGTTGTTGGTGAAGCTGTATCCGAGGCAAAGCTACTTGGGAAGAGTGAAGTGAGTAGCTTTGGCTTTGAAGCGGCCTGTACTGATTCCTGTAGGGTATTGTTGCTGGTGTGCCCTTCTTTAATGAAGTATTCCGCCAGCTCGGCTGCACGTAAGTCTTCCTTTATACTCTTCCATGTTACCACCTTGTGACAAATAACATATTGACATATATCAGTGTAGAATGGCATGTCGAAGAAGGTGCATCCTTTCAACCCATTACACATTGCGCCACCGTCCGTGGTCCAGTCCGCCACTTGCTTCTCGGCGAGCGCGTGGCACTCAACACATTGGCTCGCTGTTCCGGCATCGCTACCAAATCCAACCGATTGCTGAATCTCCTACGAAATGCTGGCTACCCGAACATTCTTGCTGGCACACGAAAGACCACGCCTGGCTTTCGACTTGTCGAGAAGTACGGCATGTTGATTGGAGGGGTAGATGCACATCGTGTGGATTTAAGCGCAATGACGATGCTGAAAGACAACCATATTGTTGCAGCAGGTAGCATTACCAACGCTGTAAGAGCTGCCAAAGCGGCAGGTGGCTTTGCGATCAAAGTCGAAGTCGAGTGTCAATCCTTCGAAGAGGCAGACGAAGCGATAGCGGCAGGTGCTGATATTGTCATGTTAGACAACTTCACTCCTGAAGGTGTACAAGTTGCCGCAAAAGACTTGAAGGATAAATGGGGGCGAGGAACTGGCGACAGGAAACATTTCTTGGTAGAGGTCAGTGGTGGGCTGACAGAGTACAACGTCGAGAAGTATGTTTGCGGAGACATTGATATTGTTAGTACGAGCAGCATACATCAGGGAGTACCGCATGTGGACTTTTCGCTCAAGATCGTACCTCAGAGTAAGTAGGGTAGCGGAGAAAGTATTACAACATAAACTACCGAATTACTCAGATAGCTAACGATAGCCAACGGCGATTATTATAAGTTTGAAAATTCAGTGGACATGTGATGAGTATGTTGACAGTCTTGGAGATATTGTTGTATCGCATACGATGATCCGAAGCGATCATGCTCATAGCTAATGAGTACTATCAAGGTACTCCAAGTAGGTTCTCAATAATCCCAAAGTCAACGGGAAAGGGGGTATGTGTAAGAGTGATTGTCAAGCAATCGATAAAACCACTTCACTGGCATGTTAGGTACCATTGTATGTTCATCGGGGTGACATGAATCACTTAACATCTTAGTATACGAAAATCATTGTAGGCGCCAGATATGCCTATCACGAATGGACTACGGTTACTCACACTGTAGCTGTCAACTATTTTATGTCGCCCAGATGTGTCCATTTATCTCTTGAACCATTCCTTATCGATGCCTCTTTCATTCACATTCACCATGCGCCATTTCGTGGCGCAACTAGAGCGTTCTATTGTTCCCGCACAATGACAACAAAGAACCCAGATCTATTGTACCAACGAAATCTTATGACCACGGTTTCACATGCATTGTAATACCATAGCGTGCTCTCGTGTCACGTACTAAGTCAGTACTCGATTTCATTCCTACCTCACCTCTATTTTTCTACAACACACCGCGATCCTTACCATTCCTCAGCAAAACATCATGCTTTCCTTCTCACGTCTTGCAGCGAGTGTGCTGGCCGCACTCGTCACCTTGAGCAGCGCTCAGGATAACCGAACCGTACAAGCTGGAGCTTACATATTGACGGATGACCTTTCTTACGAAAAATTTTTCTCGGCTTTTGACTTCTACAACGGCACAGACCCCACAAAAGGGTTTGTTCAATACCAGAACCGGGACGACGCTATTAATCAGGGACTAGTTGGATATCTGGAGGATACCAAGTCTGTCTACATTGGCGTGGACTACACGACAAAGGATCCTTCTGGCCGCGCCTCGGTTCGCTTGGAGAGCAAGAAAAGCTTCAACGAGGGTCTGCTCATCGCCGACATTCGTCATATGCCCGCCTCTGTTTGTGGAACTTGGTTGGCCATGTGGATGCTGTCATCTTCAGCAGAGTGGCCGAACGGTGGAGAGATCGACATCATTGAAGGAGTGAACGACTACGACTCAAATTCCGCTACACTTCATACCTCCAAGGGGTGTATGATTGACAACGCCACAGCACCCACCGGTGGTTCTGGAGGTACTGGGGATGTCAATGCGCCATTCACTGGTCTTATGACTACAGATGACTGCGATGTCAATGCACTAGGCCAAGGGAAGAACGTGGGTTGTTCGATCCATGCCCCAACCACTATGCCTGGTCGACAGATAAGTGGTAGCGGCGGTACTGACACAAGCGATGGAGAAGTGGCTTTCCCTTCTTATGGTACCGACTTCAACAAGGCTTCCGGCGGCGTCTACGCTGTGGAATGGACATCGACATCCATCTCAGTCTGGTTCTTCCCACGAAACTCACCTACCTTCAACCAACACTTTTCGTCCAATACCACAGCACTCAACCCCTCTTCTTGGGATACGCCTATGGCGCATTTCTCAGGTAGTGGCTGCGATTTCACACAGCGTTTCAAGGACCTCAAAATCGTTTTCAACACTGATTTTTGTGGCGAGTGGGCGGGTAAAGAGTGGGACACATGCGCGAAGAAGACTGGCGTCTCCACTTGCAATGCCTATGTGCAGAACAACCCAGATGCCTTTCAGGAGGCTTATTGGGAGGTTGCGGGATTGAAGTGGTTTCAAAAGGCTGCTAGTTAGAAGCGTGACACGATTGCTCCTTTGCCTAGGCACGAGGAGACAGCCTGACCTCAGGCTAGTAGTTGGCTTTTCTGGTTTTCTGGTAGGTATAAGATTGTTAGTTGTGTGGCCTGCTGCTAAGCCAAGTGCGAACTGTAACGTAGCTATAGTTTCCGCTTCTTAGACGCGTTTCTTTTGGTCTGTGATATATTGGCAATCTATAGTATATTTATATATTTTCAAGCCAGATATTTTTCCGTGCATTTCATTTCTTGCTATTCGTTATAAGTTGGACAAGTTGTAATCACACACTGAGGCGTAAGACGATGTTATGACGCATACGTAATGTTATATGATGGTAGCCAGGCGATTATTACTCTGCTATAGTTGCTTACTGTGCTGATCGTATTCTCCAAAAAGCAGTTGTCGCCGATCTTTGGACAATAAAAGGGCCCGAATAGGCTGATGACGGCGTACACCACCTTTCGAGCGTCTCCAGTTTTGTCGTCAAGACCGGTGAATTGTGTTTTACCGGAAGGCTATATATGCCCCTATTGATAGTTATTGCTCTTGACGTATCTGGGCCATTAGTTTGGGGACGAAGAAACAAGCACTGTCAAGCATTCGATTGCCGTCAGCCCTGACTGAATTCGGTCAGTCCCGAGGAAGGAAAAAGAGATGGATAGGTAGAGTGGACTCGCTGCTGCAAAAGCAAGGCGGAAGCATGACATCAAGGGCGGTGCTGACGCAGGAAACACGCGTTGTAAGTAGTTGCGTAGTTTTCGGCCGCCTATCCCTCGGCGGGCTCGTGGCACATGTCGCCCCTCCCCCGTTTGTGGAGAGGCCACCCCCTCGCATCTTACCGCGAGTTGGCAAATCTGATGGCTCAAGGTGCCG